TATATATAGTTATAGTGACCAGACCTACCTCTCTGTCTGTACCTGATACAGTCCCTCCCTGTGTAAGGTATATATATAGTTACAGTGACCAGACCTACCTCTCTGTCTGTACCTGGTACAGTCTCTCCCTGTGTAGGGTATAGTTATAGTTATAGTGACCAGACCTACCTCTCTGTCTGTACCTGGTACAGTCCCTGTGTAGGGTATATATAGTTACAGTGACCAGACCTACCTCTCTGTCTGTCCCTGGTACAGTCCCTGTGTAGGGTATATATATAGTTATAGTGACCAGACCTACCCCTCTGTCTGTACCTGATACAGTCCCTCCCTGTGTAAGGCATATATATAGTTACAGTGACCAGACCTACCTCTCTGTCTGTACCTGATACAGCCCCTCCCTGTGTAAGGTATATATATAGTTACAGTTACCAGACCTACCTCTCTGTCTGTACCTGGTACAGTCTCTCCCTGTGTAGGGTATAGTTACCTCTCTGTCTGTACCTGGTACAGTCCCTGCGTAGGGTATCTATATAGTTACAGTGACCAGACCTACCTCTCTGTCTGTATCTGGTACAGTCTCTCCCTGTGTAGGGTATAGTTACCTCTCTGTCTGTACCTGGTACAGTCCCTGCGTAGGGTATCTATATAGTTACAGTGACCAGACCTACCTCTCTGTATATATAGTTACAGTGACCAGACCTACCTCTCTGTCTGTATCTGGTACAGTCTCTCCCTGTGTAGGGTATAGTCATAGTTATAGTGACCAGACCTACCTCTCTGTCTGTACTTGGTACAGTCCCTCCCTGTGTAGGGTATATAAATAGTTATAGTGACCAGACCTACCTCTCTGTCTGTACTTGGTACAGTCCCTCCCTGTGTAGGGTATATAAATAGTTATAGTGACCAGACCTACCTCTCTGTCTGTACTTGGTACAGTCCCTCCCTGTGTAGGGTATATAAATAGTTATAGTGACCAGACCTACCTCTCTGTCTGTACCCGGTACAGTCCCTGTGTAGGGTATATATAGTTACAGGGACCAGGCCTACCTCTCTGTCTGTACCTGGTACAGTCCCTCCCTGTGTAGTCTAGTGTACATATACAATGATCCTGTCCTTGTCTGGCTATACATGTCCCTCCATTATCACACACCACAGTCGAACAGGACTTTTCATCACCTGTAATGTATAACTCCTTATAAGATTTCATAGGCTTCATAAAGATTATTTAAAATTTAACAATTTTAAAAACATTTCCCTCATGCTATCTATATTTTTCCTTCAGCAAAAACAGGGAAATGACATTACCTGCATATTTTAATGTTGTTGTCTTGGTCTGGGTGTTTGTGGTTATTTCCAAGGAGAATTGTGTCCCCTTGGGAGTTTTCAGTTTAATGGGATCCCCCTCACACCGCTGACCGGTTATGTTAACTGGACAAAGACAGCTGTAGCTGTTGTCGGCCAGAAGGATACACGTCCCAGAGTTCTGACAAGGATTCATTTCACAAGGGTTGTGTTCACAGTTCGGTCCCCTTGTCAACCCAGGTGAAGATCCACACTCACATGTATACCCTAACTCCTGGTCAGGGGAGACAACACATGTGCCATTGTTCAGACAGGGATACATATCACAGTTTGGTGAAAATGCTATCTCGCAGTTATCACCTTTCCATGAGTTTCTACAGTGACACTTATATCCATTACTTGTGGTTGTACAAGTGCCATCATTCTGACAAGGATCTCCACGACAACCAATGACCTTGACCTCACAAAACTGACCTTGAAAGCCTAGAGGACATACACACTGTGGCTGGTTGGATTGGGTTAGGTTACAGATGGCATTGTTCTGACAGTAGCCTAAGTAACAAGTTCTAAAGGCAGCATCACAGTGGGTGACCCCTGGAGGACAGAGACAGGTGTGGCCTCCATCTGACCCTGACACACAGGTACTGTTAGCCTGGCATGGACTGGAGTCACACACGTTGATCACCACCTCACAGCTGGCTCCTGGATTAGAAGTAAGTAAATCAGAAAGTATTGTATTAGCAAAACAAGGCAAAAAGATATTTAAATTTTGTATAAAAGTATGTGGCTTTCTTTAAACTGAAACACATGAAACTTAATTGAATATATATCTTTACATTTGATATAACCATTATGATAACAGTTCATTCGTGAAAGAAGGATTCAGATAGAAAACAAGGAAATCATAAAAAATTCTTGTAAAACTTTGGCCTCAACATAGCCTTTCATAGTTAGTTCGACTAGTATGAATTGTCAACATATCGCTGATATAAATTTAATAAAAAAAAGTCCACACAGAAACTCACCTGTGTACCCATGTCTGCAATCACAGTGAAAATCAAAAGGAAGAGGTCCATCCATACATGCAGCCTCATTCTGGCATACTCCCAAATGGCATTCATTGATTGACTCATCACAGTGATCCCCCTGGTAACCATAGCTACAGTTCTTACACTCAAACCCACCAATCAGGTCTGTGCAATGTCTGTGTAGAATACAGTTGTTGGACAATGGAGATAGACATTCATTTACATCTGAAACCAGGATAACGAAAGTACACATCAACTGGTCATGATCGCCTTAAATCCTAATTCCTATCAAAAGAACACTACAGTGAGAGAACTTAAAAGTTTTCAAAATGCTTGTTTGTAACTTCTTGTTTTCATTCAACAATATATTCTTAAAATCTACATCACTCAGCATCAGATCAAGAATGAAAATATAGCGAGATCTACTGACGTCACCACCTGTAGGGAAGATAACTTGGATCTCATACAGCCCCGCGATTGTATAGACTACAATTCAATGATATGTATATTAGCTAGATAACATTCTGAATAAAAAATACAAAAAATGAGATGTTGTAATGAAAGAATGTGATTTATCAATTGTATGACAGGAATGTCCACTATTACATCCTAGCCTGTTTCATGGATACACCATATCATATCTTAGTTTTTGTTTTAAACAAACACAGTGATAAGCAAACAAGTGCACACAATGTATGTGTATATTTGTTATTTGGTCTCTGTGGAGTATAACATATAGATTTGTAGGATAAAAACGCTCATGAAAGTTTAACTTACCGAGGCAGTGACTACCTCTCCGAATTCTGACGTTACCATGGTGATTTCCCACAACCTCTGTCCAAGCCACAACATTTCCATACGTTTTGTTACAGATGTTTTGATTGGCTAACCTCATAATATCTTCATTATCAAGCACTCGATCAAAAACATTGAACTGTGACAGTTCCCCAATAAAGGCCTCTGAGCTACTAAAGGAATCGCCAGCAGTGTGTTGTTTCTGTCCTGTAGGAGTATTAAAGACAAATTGAAACTATCAAATGGCTTATAGCTTACAACTGTCACTGAGTTGAGAAATTGGTTAATGCTTACTACTGTAACATATCAAACAGGTCCAGTATCACCCCTTTATTTTATTTTTTAACTTAAACAATTGCAAATCAGGTGCAGGAATCAATGCATTGGTCCTTCTGTGTGAATGATACAATTAACTTACGGCAAAGTGTTTATTAGCTTGTTCTAAAGGTGAACAAAATCAATTTTTAAGAGATCATTATATCATATTTTGTAAACATTGCACACATCATATTGTCCATATATCAATCAGTTTTTGTTATAAAGAGTTATACCTAGGACCAAGTATCCCTCCCCTGGAATGGTGTCACCTTGTGCCAAGTTATCTCCCCTGTGTGCTATTGTTCCGTTGACATACATCCACCAGAGGCCGCCACTGCTCTGCCACGCCACACACAAATGCTGCCACCTCCCATCATTCACCCTGACAGTGGTCACAGCAACATCGCCATGGATGTATAACTATAAATAAGAAAACATTATTGAAACTCAAGACTGAAAATGATTAAATAAATTAACAAGATCTTAAATATTCATAAACAAGATCTATATTTTCCATGTCTGGCCCTGGGATAATAAATCAATCTTAGACTTAAGTTTTTGCTTAGCCAATCAAGTATGACATCACTTTTCATAATGCTTCAGATTGCTTCATGATCTTGAGGCCTGATACGGGGGGGAAAGACATCTTAATTAATCAGACAGGTAAAAATGTTAAGTGTCTAGAATGAGGATTAAATTGAATTCCAGTATGCACAGACTATACCTAGGGTAACATACCCAGTGTGGAGGAACAGAAATAAGTGATGAGGTCATACCTTAAGTTGTCCGTAGTCTGTTAGAGTAAACATGTTACCCTCCTTCCAGGCTAATTCATTGGTCTCCACAGCATAGGAGAATGGTGTACCATAGTTCATGGTGTCCTGGGTCCTTATCCACATACAAGCTGTGACAGACTTCAGATCCCCTGGGCCAGGGCGAAACAGCACAGACCCAGGAGACCCCAAAGGGTCAAACACCAGGTCAAAATTAGGGGAAATTACTGAAAATGCAAGGTCATTACCAGGAAAACATGAGATAAATGCTGAGAAAGACTACTCCTTAAACAAAATGTGTTGAAACTTTGTCTAGCACAAGGCCATTGTAAGGGGAGCTAGCTAGATCACTGGATCATATCAAAGTCATTCTAAGGGGAAACCACTGCCTCGGTGCTGTGCTGCTCCTTTTTTTTTAGCAAATCTCTTAGTATGCATGCATGTTTTAATTTAATGTTTCATTTACATTTTGTTTTACTTGTTGTTATAGTCGGTTGTAAAAGCCTTATTAGTGTTACCATGTTTTAAACCATGTTTTGACTTTAATAAAATTTACTTGACTTGACTTGTTTCAAACAAGGTCAAGGAGATCACTGTTTCAAACAAGAGCATTTTAAGGGGAGATAACTGCATATCAGAAGTCAATGTTAGGGGTGATCACAGTAAGTTCAGTATTTAAGCCTTTATGCTTTATGTTCTTTTATTAAAACCAGGAAATCATATTTTTATTAAAACCAGGAAATCATATAAGTCCAAACAGAACTTATACAGCTTACTCAGATAATATTCTAAGGACACCTTACCTTGTTCACACTGCTGACCTCCATAGCCTGGTACACACCTACAGAGGGGTTGACGGTCGACAACTCTACACACCCCTCCATTCAGACATACCACCCCAACACAGGTCTCATTGCTGGGGGTCTCACAAACCAGACCTGTGTACTCCAGTATACAACTACAGACGTGATCTGTTGGCCTGGAAGTACATGTCCCTCCGTTTCTACAAGGTCGGGACACACAGTGGTCAGGCTGGTCACAGAGTTCACCTTTGTAAAAAAAAAACATAACAAAAAAAATTCACATCTTGTAATAAACTGGTTTCAAACCATTGCAGACAAAAATGCTTGGTGTCACAAAACTTTGAACCCTTAGTCACTTCTTTCAAATAATTTATATGGATGCTGTATCATAGAAAAAAGGCTTTTTAATCAAGAGCCTCCTAACGATATAGATATGATAGCTGAAAAATATAAAGTTTTAATGCTTGTGGATATTCATCCTCTAAAACAGAATTTTTGAAATAATGATAAAAAAAATGTGAAATGTTTTTGAATTGTTACCTATAAATCCAGGATGACATCTGCATCTGAAGTTTGGGCCGACAGTCTCACAGTTACCATGGTCACAAGGTCTGGTGGCACAGGGGAGATAACTCTGACAAAGACTCCCGGTGTAGGAAAATGGACAGTAGCAGTGATAGCCCTGGTCTGTATCCTCACAGGACCCACCATTCTCACAGGGACTGGAGTCACACAGACTCACCCGTGTCTCACATCTCTCACCTATAGAAACATAGAGAGGATACAGCATTAACACAACCAGGTAGGTAATAGAGGTTCAATGTGATATATAGGGAACAAAGTTAATTATATACTTCTACAAAAACTATTGATTATTTTGTGAAAAAGTGTCTTCTTGAGACTCGGACTCATTAAGATTCTTCTTAAATTGAATTATTGAAGTTACAATTCCTATATGCTTACCTATCATTACTAAGAACATTTACTACCTTATCTGTATAAGTGAACTATACAGGGCTTCACAGGGCTATACAGGGCAATAACTGAACCTGTATAGGTGTAACATTTTACCTGTATACCGTTACATTGACTGCCTCACCTGTATAGGTAGGTTGACACAGACACAGGAAGCCGTCCACGAGGTCCTGACAGGTAGAGTTGTACAGACAAGGACCAGCATCACACTCATTGATCTCTATATCACAGGTGTCACCAGTGTACCCTCTGTGACAGTCACACAAATAGCCATCCACTAGAGAAACACAGTCACCATTGTTACAGCTGTCCTGGGTAATATCCTCACAAAAGTCAAATGCTGAGGAGAACAACATGTTTGGACTTTTTATGAAGATAAACAAATATTTTTTAAAACATTTATGTCTTTTTATCATTGACTTATTCACAATGATACCAATAATCAATATGTAAGACTTAATCATAGTGATTTATTCAATTGTTTTTTTTAGCAAGGTTAAGGTTAGAACTATACTTACCCTGACAGACATCGACATCAGTAGTCCCTGGAGTCAGTGTTGTCATATTGCTTGGACATAAAATACAACTGAGTGATCCGGTGTCAGACTGGAAAGTCCCCACAGGACAAGGCAAACATGGATGGAGTCCAGAGCTGGAGTTGTATGTCCCTGCACTACACCTCTCTTAGGGCAGAAAATATACCACCTTCACTTTTATATCTTCTTGTCTTGTTGATAAAATTGATTTGTTATGAAAGATTTTATGAAGTAGAACATCTGAATGCTATGTGGCATCAATTAATTTATTTGTAAGTAACTGACTCTACCTTTATAGCTGTCGATAGTCTCTGTATGTAACTGACTCTACCTTTACAGCTGTCGATAGTCTCTGTATGTAACTGACTATCTTTACAGCTGTCGATAGTCTCTGTATGTAACTGACTACCTTTACAGCTGTCGATAGTCTCTGTATGTAACTGACTCTATCTTTACAGCTGTCAATAGTCTCTGTATGTAACTGACTCTACCTTTACAGCTGTTGATAGTCTCTGTATGTAACTGACTCTACCTTTACAACTGTTGATAGTCTCTGTATGTAACTGACTCTATCTTTACAGCTGTCAATAGTCTCTGTATTTAACTGACTCTACCTTTACAGCTGTCGATTGTCTCTGTATGTAACTGACTCTACCTTTACAGCTATCGATAGTCTCTGTAAGTAACTGACTCTCTACCTTTACAGCTGTCGATAGTCTCTGTATGTAACTGACTCTACCTTTACAGCTGCCGATAGTCTCTGTATGTCCCGGCATGTTTGTAGTGTTTACTGGACAGGCTTTACAAGACATCTGACCTCTGACCTCCTGGTATGACCCGACACCACACAGAGAACAGGGCTCCAGTCCAGTCGAAGAGTAGTGCCCAACGGGACACCTCTCTTAGTGAGAAAGACACACATTTTACTAACAATGAGAGCACCACTATAAGTTACTACAATACAAACTGTTCAATTTGTTTGCTATTTCCACAGATCATATACTGAAAGATCAATCAAGATTTTAATTGCTATTAAATAAATTATGTGTTCATAAGTTGTCTTAAACACCAGATATTTCAAAACGTACTCTTACAGAGATAGATTAGTTCAATATATACTAATGGTCAGAGTTTACACAAGATAAAAAAACAACAATATCCACCTAAACATTTGGTAACATTATCTGCTCCAGAGGTCAAGGTCATAGTGTCCCCAGGACAGGATTTACAGTCCACACTCCCCTCCTTGTCTTGGTACATTCTTTGTGGACATGACTTACATGTATCCTCATTCTCATCATGGAACATTCCAACAGGACAGGCAACTACAATATAACACAGGCAAATAGGGTATAACAGGAAAGGCAAGATAATAAAACACAGGCAAATATGGTATAACAGGACAGGCAACTACAATATAACGCAGGCAAATAGGGTACAACAGGACAGGCAACTACAATATAACACAGGCAAATAGGGTACAACAGGACAGGTAACTACAATATAACACAGGCAAATAGGGTATAACAGGACAGGCAACTACAATAAAACACAGGCAAATAGGGTACAACAGGACAGGCAACTACAACATAACACAGGCAAATAGGGTATAAAATGACAGAAAAGTACAATACACGACAGGTACCTCATTTATACAATATAAGGCAGGCAACTACAATATAACACAGGCAAATAGGGTATAAAATGATAGAAAGGTACAACATAACACAGGCAAATAGGGCATAAAATGACAGAATAGTACAATACAAGGCAGGTACTTCATTTATACAATACAAGGCAGGCAACTACAACATAACACAGGCAAATAGGGTATAAAATGACAGAATAGTACAATACACGGCAGGTACCTCATTTATACAATACAAGGCAGGCAACTATAATATAGTTGTACAGTTTGTTTTAATGTGTAACTACAAGTTTTCGGGAATGTTATACATGTATTGTCCTTACTGTACGGAAATCACAGGTCACCCTCATGAAACATGGTTAATCAAGGAGAAATAAAGAAGTGTGATTCCCTACTGCAAGGACAATAACTATTTATAGCCTGATTATTTTTTATCAATGACAGAATAGTAGAGATGATCAGGTTATGCCATGGTTGTGGTCTGTTTCCATCATTCTGAGCAAGATTATGGTGGCTCATGCCTAGAGAGGTTCTGAATAAAGGGAATATGATGAGGGAAACTTGAGGGAGACATGATGTTTTTTATCGCCCCGTCATGGGACCAGTATCATCCAATTAGACACACTGATATAAAGATGAGGTAAAATGTATTATAATGTCCAAAACTCTCCAAGCTAGCTGGTTAAGGAATGGAAAGTGTTACAATGTGGTCGTTACATGAGAGTACATATTTTTTGGTGTAAATATTTGAAATGTTTTTCAAGTGATTAATAATTCTTTTCCGAATATCTATCCCCCAATATTGTACGATCGAAATTTGTGAAATATATAAAGAGAAATTCTTAGCAATCAAAGAAACTGTTAAAGACAAAGTCATTTTATTTTGTAAATCAAAAGTCACCAATAAACATACTGATACTTACCACAGGACACAAAGTGGATATTTAACACTTTGGTGACAAAGCCCCGGCCACAGTCCTCAAACTTGCGGCCATATATAGGGTGATAGTTCTCACTCAGAAACATATCTGTGGACTTGTTGTTGGCAGGGTCAGTCACTGTGAAGTTCTCGCTCCCGAAGTAGCGCTGTACTACCATCTCAATCCGGCGCAATGTCAGTAAGATCATTCTCTGCCCTCGGAGTGTGTTGTTGTAAGTTTCAGCGCTAGCATTTACAGCAAAGTGAACGGTCAACTCATGTCGACCATCATCTGCTGGGCTGGAGGAGTTATCGCTTCCTGCATGAGTTAATTCTCTTTTAAATCTTGATGTGTCTCTTTCGTTAGCAGTATCAAAAACAGTTGCACGCCGTTTGCGAGATACTGCCCCACAATTCACAGTGACTTCCCCTGTGTCACACTGGACTTTGCCACACATCTGCTGTGTAACTGATCTGATCTTGGTGAGGAACCTTTCCACTACCTGCTGTTTCACGTCCTCACAGTCGCCGCTGTAGTAGTAGTACTCATACTCCGACTGCATCACTGCCAGCCCAGGGAAATGCTTCTCTGTCAAAGTCATGTTCAATAAATAGGTCAATTATTTATATAGTTTACATAATTTTTGTAGTACAGTATCTAAGATATTGGTGCACTGAAATAAATTCTGATGAAGGATATTGCTTTGTAGAAAAAATCCACAAAGCAGAAAGTTTATGCACTAAAGTGCAGTGTTTTTGGTATATACTGTATAACCCCAAAAATAATCTTGGTTATTCATTAATTATAATTCAATTTAAAAAGGGTTTTTTTAATTCATATTTTCTGAAAATTTATTACATCGCCAAGTGACTTCAACCAGTCAGAAGTTAGAACTACAAATGCTGCACCAGACATTGTAGCATATGACATCATCACTTTTTGTGTTGTCTTTTTTAAGATTATGCAATATAAACCTGAAAAAGTCTATTATTGGGCGAATAGCTTAAATCAAATAATAAAGAACCAGGCAATACATTGTAATTATAATTCCAGGATATAACTCCAATTTCAAACTTTCAGAGAATACAATAAAACAATTTTCCAATGATCACTCAGCATCCCTTAGTACTTAAATTTTCAGCCAATGTATATAGGAACTTACATGAGTTTCCATTTCATATGAGATTTATGAAACGAGATTTGTGGCATTTATTCGTGTAAAACGACAATTTTCATGCAACCTTGAAATGTAACAAGTCGCCATTTTGACTCCAGTACGTAAGTCTGTGACGTCACATACTTGTCTTAGGCTTGACGTCACAATTGAAACAATTGAAAATTACAACCAATCACAGGATTGATAGGTCATATTACATGGGTTAATACGCAAAAAATATGACATGGGTATATTCACTGGTTGACACAGTACATTATGTGATAAAATAATATCTTGTTCTTATAACTACAGTATGTTATAGATAACACTGAAGAAGAAAACTTAATATATTTGTCCTCTAAGCTTTGTTCCATAGATGTTGTAGAGTAACAGTATATAAATTTACAAACTGTTGATACCAACCTGAGCAGTCTGGCCAGAACTGACCATCGCTGAGTGACCACTGGCCATTTAGTTGACAGTTGTAGACTTCTTGGGGAAAGTCAAAGAAGTCATATTGGTCGTTACACTGTACAATACACTGCATCAGATAGTCGGAAGTCTGTGGACAGATCAGGCTGCCGTGTCTAGGTGGTCGGGGGTAGTCACACTGTCGCCCTGGAACACCGATGATAGACATTATACACACTTTATGTCTTAACACATAACCCTCTTATAAACAACTTGATATTTTTAACAACTTGATATTTTTAACAGCTGACAGTATTGAAGAATTCAATATTTTCTACAATTCATAAATTAATCGATACATTTTGTGTCGTGAAACTTTTGTTCTTTTGTCCAGATGTAATATATTTTGTGCAACAGTTGATAGTAATTAGATCTAAAAAAAAATATCTGACAGGCAACAGATTCCATGGGAACCAACCTTACATGTGAAACTGATCTATCATATCTAACCAACACCATGGGAACCAAGCTTACCTGTGAGACTGATCTATCAGATTTTACCAACACCATGGGAACCAAGCTTACATGTGAAACTGATCTATCAGATCTTACCAACATCATGGGAACCAAGCTTACTTGTGAGACTAATGTAGAATTGACAGCTGGCTGTCTGTCCCTGCATTAGAGGTTCACAGAACACACTGTGTGCTGCCATGGAGAAAAGAGTTCCACTCTGAGGGTTACAGTAAAACTCAACACTGTCATTGTTGTTGTCAAGGAACACAGGTGGTTGCCAAGTAACTTGTGTTTTGTATCCAGCCACATCAACTCTGGTTATGTTGCCAGGACAGAAGGTGTTCTGAACAGTTCTCTCTGGTACAGGAACAGTAATAAATACATGTTTATCTCTTAAATCGCTTGGTATCAATCTTATTGAAAGCAACTTAAGGAACATTTCAGGCCATAAGGAATATCATATATAACATGACATAAAATAATTTAATAAACTTTTGATACTGTGTACATGAGGGATTTAGTTGTTAAACTGTCATTGTTACTTATGTTAGATGGGTTGTTTTTAAATCTCATACAGATGGCATATAGTTGCAAACTGTGGCTACCAAGCTAGGTTATATATCCATTACCAGGAGCTGTAGGGTACAGAAGGTTATATCTACCATACACACATCACCTACCCACAACCAGGATCCCTAAAGTACAGAAGGCCTGGTTGCCTGTTTTGTCCTCAGCCATGAACTCTATCTGATGGTAACCAGAAGCCATTTTAGCAGGACTTTCCTTCCAAACAGTTGGTTTAGTTGTGACCTCTCCTGAATTGTCCATGACCTTTGGCATCTTGTCTTGCCAGTGTACGAAGGTGAAGTTGCCCTCAGTGATGGGGACTCTGATGTCGTCCGGGCAGATAATGACTGGTGGCTCCACATCTTCAAAAGTGAGTTTACAGTTTAAAGGTCGTGTGGTACAGTACTCTGGAAAGCTGTGTCCACCTGTTAGTCAGTGTTATACGTTTTGTGACGACAATATCTTTATTCAGAACAGGGTGACCGTGAGAACGAGTGTGTCTGACAACTTTAATGTCTCTTGTGATAACTTAAGATATTACCGATTTCTAGAAACTGCAAATCTCCTGTATCACATGAAATATATATAGGTATTTCATCTAATAGTATTATATATTCAAACCATTTATAAATCTTAAATTGTACACCAACACAAATTTGCTACAATCAACCGCAGCTATCAACTGTAGCATACAATTATGAATGTATATATAGAAGATTTGTCCTAAGTTTCCCTTTATATTAGATTTATGATACAAGTTTTGGAATGTTCAAGTTTGCTTATCTTACCAACACAGGAGGTATTCAGAGCCAGTGTCCAATGTCCAAATAGGTCACATGTCTGAGCTGCAGGACCATGAATCTGGTAGCCATGGTTACACATGTAACTACACACCTGGCCTGGCATCTGGCGACCTTGACTGCAGCTTTCTGGAGTTATCTGCCCTTGTGAAATTGGGGGCAAAGGAGGACATTTGGATTCTGGAAAGAAATGTCAACAAACTGTAGATAGATTGATCATTAAATCACAGGATTCCTCTAGATACCACTCATGACAAAAAGCAATGACAGCAATAACAGGTATATATAGAGATGATCAAAATTACCTGCAGACAACCTCAGTGCAAGAAAAAGGCCAGGTTATTGTCTTGAAACATGTATCAGTGTTTTATAACCTGTTGTAGAAATCATTACCTGCAGTGTGTTGCATGTGATGATCTCTTTGGAAAGACAATCTTTTGTGCTCACAACCACTGGGAGTGTGGCCAGCCCTTGGGAAAGTCAATATCATGTACACAAAACCAAAAGAATGTGTGGGGTTGCTGGGTAATGTCAGACTTTTGCACTTACAACCACTTGCACTGTTCTGATCTCTGGGTTAGGGGTTACGCTGGGGATGGTTCTGATCTCTGGGTAAGGGGTTACATTTGGGATGGCATTGTTCTGATCTCTGGGTAAGGGTTTACACTGGGGATGGCACTGTTCTGATCTCTGGGTTCGGGGTTACACTGGGGATGGTTCTGATCTCTGGGTTAGGGGTTAGAATGGGGATGGGACTTTTCTGATCTCTGGGTTAGGGGTTACAATGGGGATGGGACTGTTCTGATCTCTGGGTTAGGGGTTACGCTGGGGATGGGACTGTTCTGATCTCTGGGTTAGGGGGGATGGGACTTTTCTGATCTCTGGGTTAGGGTTTACACTGGGGATGGCACTATTCTGATCTCTAGGTAAGGGTTTACACTTGGGATGGCACTGTTCTTATCTCTACTGGGGATGGCACTGTTCTGATCTCTGGGTTCGGGGTTACACTGGGGATTGTTCTGATCTCTGGGTTAGGGGTTAGAATGGGGATGGGACTTTTCTGATCTCTGGGTTAGGGGTTACAATGGGGATGGGACTGTTCTGATCTCTGGGTTAGGGGGGATGGGACTTTTCTGATCTCTGGGTTAGGGTTTACACTTGGGATGGCACTGTTCTTATCCCTGGGTTAGGGGGTTACACTGGGGATGGCACTGTTCTGATCTCTGGGTTAGGGGCTACACTGGGGATGGGACTGTTCTGATCTCTGGGTCAGGGGTTACACTGGGGATGGGACTGTTCTGATCTCTGGGTTAGGGGGGATGGGACTTTTCTGATCTCTGGGTTAGGGGTTACAATGGGGATGGGACTGTTCTGATCTCTGGGTTAGGGGTTACGCTGGGGATGGGACTGTTCTGATCTCTGGGTTAGGGGTTACGCTGGGGATGGGACTGTTCTGATCTCTGGGTTAGGGGTTACAATGGGGATGGGACTGTTCTGATCTCTGGGTTAGGGGTTACAATGGGGATGGGACTGTTCTGATCTCTGGGTTAGGGGTTACAATGGGGATGGGACTGTTCTGATCTCTGGGTTAGGGGGGATGGGACTTTTCTGATCTCTGGGTTAGGGGTTACAATGGGGATGGGACTTTTCTGATCTCTGGGTTAGGGGTTACAATGGGGATGGGACTGTTCTGATCTCTGGGTTAGGGGTTACAATGGGGATGGGACTGTTCTGATCTCTGGGTTAGGGGGGATGGGACTTTTCTGATCTCTGGGTTAGGGTTTACTCTTGGGATGGCACTGTTCTTATCTCTGGGTTAGGGGTTACACTGGGGATGGGACTTTTCTGATCTCTGGGTTAGAGGTTTACACTGGGACTGTTATGATCTCTGGGTTAGGAGTTACACAGGGACTGTTATGATCTCTGGGGTAATGGGTTACGCGGGGACTGTTCTGATCTCTGGGTTAGGGGGTTACACTGGGGATGGTTCTGATCTCTGGGTTAGGGGTTACACTGGGGATGGGACTGTTCTGATCTCTGGGTTAGAGGTTTACACTGGGACTGTTATGATCTCTGGGTTAGGAGTTACACAGGGACTGTTATGATCTCTGGGTTAGGGTTTACACTTGGGATGGCACTATTCTGATCTCGAGGTTAGGGTTTACACTGGGGATGGGACTGTTCTGATCTCTGGGTCAGGGGTTACACTGGGGATGGGACTGTTCTGATCTCTGGGTTAGGGGTTACACTGGGGATGTGACTTTTCGGATCTCTGGGTTAGGGGTTACAATGGGGATGGGACTGTTCTGATCTCTGGGTAAGGGGTTACACTGGGGATGGCACTGTTCTGAACTCTGGGTTAAGGGTTACACTGGGGATGGGACTGTTCTGATCTCTGGGTTAGGAGTTACACGGGGACTGTTATGATCTCTTGGTTAGGGGTTACACTGGTGATGGTTCTGTTCTGATCGCTGGGTTAGGGGTTACAATGGGCAGGGGACTGTTCTGATCTCCGGGTTAGGGGTTACACTGGTGATGGTTCTGTTCTGATCGCTGGGTTAGGGGTTACACAGGGGATGGGACTTTTCTGATCTCTGTGTTATTGTTTACACTTGGGATGGAACTATTCTGATCTTTTGGTTGGGGGGTTAAACTGGGGACGGCACTGTTCTGATCTCTAAGTTAGGGTTTACACTGGTGATGGGACTGTTCTATTCTCTGGGTTAGGGGTTACTGATCTCTGGGTTATGGTTTACACTCGGGATGGGACTGTTCTATTCTCTGGGTTATGGTTTGCATTTGGGATGGGACTATTCCGATCTCTAGTTTAGTGTTTACACTGGGGATGGGGCTGTTCTGATCTCTGGGCTAGGAGTTACACTGGGGATGGTTCTAATCTCTGGGTTAGGGGTTATACTGGGGATGGGGCTGGTCTGATCTCTGGGTTAGGCTTAGGGGTTACAATGGGCAGGGGACTGTTCTGATCTCCGGGTTAGGGGTTACACTGGAGATGGTTCTGTTCTGATCGCTGGGTTAGGGGGTACACTGGAGATGGTTCTGTTCTGATTTCTGGGTTAGGGTTTACACTGGTGATGGGACTGTTCTATTCTCTGGGTTATGGTTTACGCTTTGGATGGAACTATTCTAATCTCTAGGTTAGGGTTACACTGGGGATGGGGCTGTTCTGATCTCTGGGGTAGGAGTTACACGGGGACTGTTATGCTCTCTGGGGTAATGGGTTACGTGGGGACGGTTATGATCTCTGGGTTAGGAGTTACACGCGGCCTGTTCTGATCTTTGGGGTAATGGGTTACGTGGGGACTGTTATGGTCTCTGGGTTAGGAGTTACACAGGGACTGTTATGATCTCTGGGGATTGGACTGTTATGATCTCTGGGGATTGGACTGTTATGATCTCTGGGGATTGGACTGTTATGATCTCTTGGTTAGGGGGTTAAACTGGGGATGGCACTGTTCTTTTCTCTGGGTTAGGGGGTTACGCTGGGGATGGCACTGTTATGAACTCTGGGTTAAGGTTTACACTGGGGATGGCACTGTTCTTATCTCTGGGTTAGGGGTTACAGTGGGGATGGGACTTTTGTGATCTCTGGGTTACGGTGTACACTTGGGATGGCACTTTTCTGATCTCTGGGCTAGGAGTTACACTGGGGATGGTTCTGTTCTGATCGCTGGGTTAGGGGTTACAATGGGCAGGGGACTGTTCTGATCTTTGGGGTAATGGGTTGGGTGGGGACTGTTCTGATCTTTGGGTTAGGAGTTACACGGGGACTGTTTTGATCTCTGGGGTAAGGGCTTACGCGGGGACTGTTCCGATCTCTGGGTTAGGGGTTATACTGGGGATGGGGCTGGTCTGATCTCTGGGTTAGGGGGTTACAATGGTTCTGTTCTGATCGCTGGGTTAGGGGTTACACTGGTGATGGTTCTGTTCTGATCGCTGGGTTAGGGGTTACAGTGGGGATGGGACTTTTGTGATCTCTGGGTTACGGTGTACACTTGGGATGGCACTTTTCTGATCTCTGGTTTAAGGTTTACACTTGGGATGGGACTATTCCGATCTCTAGTTTAGTGTTTACACTGGGGATGGGGCTGTTCTGATCTCTGGGTTATTGTTTACATTTGGGATGGCACTATCCTGATCTTTAGGTTAGGGTTTACCCTGGGGATGGGACTTTTTTGATCTCTGGGTTATGGTTTGCATTTGGGATGGGACTATTCTGATCTCTGGGTTATGGTCTACACTTGGGATGGCACTGTTCTTATCTCTGGGTTAGGGGGTACACTGGAGATGGTTCTGTTCTTATCTCTGCGTTAGGGGTTGGAATGGGGATGGGACTTTTCTGATCTCTGGGTTAGGCTTAGGGGTTACAATGGGCAGGGGACTGTTCTGATCTCTTGGTTAGGGGTTACACTGGTGATGGTTCTGTTCTGATCGCTGGGTTAGGGGGTTACAATGGTTCTGTTCTGATCTCTGGGCTAGGGGTTACACTGGGGACTGTTGTGATCTCTTGGTTTGGGGTTACACTGGGGATTGGACTGTTATGATCTCTGGGGTAATGGGTGGCGTGGGGACTGTTCTGATCTCCGGGTTAGGGGTTACACTTGGGATGGATCTGTTCTTATCTCTGGGTTATGGTTCACACTTGGGATGGCACTTTTCTTATCTTGAGGTTAGGGTTTACACTGGTGATGGGACTGTTCTATTCTCTGGGTTAGGGGTAACACTGGGGATTGGACTGTTATGATCTCTTGGTTAGGGGGTTAAACTGGGGACGGCACTGTTCTGATCTCTGGGCTAGGGGTTACACTGAGGATGGGACTGTTTAGGGGTTACAATGGGCAGGGGACTGTTCTGATCTCCGGGTTAGGGTTTACACTGGTGATGGGACTGTTCTATTCTCTGGTTTATGATTTACACTTGGGATGGCCCTATTCTGATCTCTAGGTCAGGGTTTACACTGGGGATGGGTCTGTTCTTATCTCTGGGTTAGGGGTTACACTGGCGATGGGCCTGTTCTGATCTCTGGGTTAGGGGTAACACTTGGGATGGCACTATTCTGATCTCTTGGTTAGGGGGTTAAACTGGGGATGGCACTGTTCTGATCTCTGGGTTAGGGGTAACACTGGGAATGGGACTGTTCTGATCTCTGGGTTAGGGGTTACACTGGGGATTGGACTGTTCTGATCTCTGGGTTAGGGGTTACACAGAAATGGAATGAGATGGCACTGTTCTGATCTCTGGGTTAGGGGTTACACTGGGGATGGGACTTTTCTGATCTCTGGGTTAGGGGTTACAATGTGGATGGGACTTTTCTGATCTCTGGGTTAGGGGTTACAATGTGGATGGGACTTTTCTGATCTCTGGGTTAGGGGTTACAATGTGGATGGGACTTTTCTGATCTCTGGGTTAGGGGTTACAATGTGGATGGGACTTTTCTGATCTCTGGGTTAGGGGTTACAATGTGGATGGGACTTTTCTGATCTCTGGGTTAGGGGTTACAATGGGGATGGGACTTTTCTGATCTCTGGGTTAGGGGTTACAATGTGGATGGGACTTTTCTGATCTCTGGGTTAGGGGTTACACTGGGTATGGGACTGTTCTGATCTCTGGGTTAGAGGTTTACACTGGGACTGTTATGATCTCTGGGGATTGGACTGTTCTGATCTCTGGGTTAGGGGTTACAATGGGGATGGGACTTTTCTGATCTCTGGGTTAGGGGTTACAATGTGGATGGGACTTTTCTGATCTCTGGGTTAGGGGTTACAATGTGGATGGGACTTTTCTGATCTCTGGGTTAGGGGTTACAATGTGGATGGGACTTTTCTGATCTCTGGGTTAGGGGTTACACTGGGGATGGTTCTGTTCTTATCTCTGGGTTAGGGGTTACACTGGAGATGGTTCTGTTCTGATCTCTGGGTTAGGGGTAACACTTGGGATGGCACTATTTTGATCTCTTGGTTAGGGGGTTAAACTGGGGATGGCACTGTTCTGATCTCTGGGTTAGGGGTAACACTTGGGATGGCACTATTCTGATCTCTTGGTTAGGGGGTTAAACTGGGGATGGCACTGTTCTGATCTCTGGGGTAGGGGTAACACTGGGAATGGGACTGTTCTGATCTCTGGGTTAGGGGTTATACTGGGGATGGGACTGTTCTGATCTCTGGGTTATGGGTTACACTGGGGACTGTTATGATCTCTTGGTTAGGGGTTACACTGGGGATGGCACTGTTCTGATCTCTGGGTTAGGGGTTACACTGGGGACGGGACTGTTCTGATCTCTGGATTAGGGGTTGCAATGGTGATGGGACTGTTCTGATCTCTGGGTTAGGGGTTATACTGGGGATGGGACTGTTCTGATCTCTGGGTTAGTGGTTACACTGGGCATTGTTCTGATCTCTGGGTTAGGGGTTACACTGGGGATTGGACTGTTCTGATTTCTGGGTTAGGGGTTACACTGGGGATGGGACTTTTCTGATCTCTGGGTTAGGGGTTACACTGGGGACGGGACTGTTCTGATCTCTGGATTAGGGGTTGCAATGGTGATGGGACTGTTCTGATCTCTGGGTTAGGGGTTATACCGGGGATGGGACTGTTCTGATCTCTGGGTTAGAGGTTTGCACTGGGACTGTTATGATCTCTGGGTTAGGAGTTACACGGGGACTGTTTTGATCTCTGGGGTAAGGGGTTACGCGGGGACTGTTCTGATCTCTGGGTTAGGGGGTTACACTGGGGATGGTTCTGATCTCTGGGTTAGGGGGTTACACTGGGGATGGGACTTTTCTGATCTCTGGGTTAGGGTTTACACTTGGGATGTCACTATTCTGATCTCTGGGTTAGGGTTTACACTGGGGATGGGACTGTTCTGATCTCTGGGTCAGGAGTTACACGGGGGATGGGACTGTTCTGATCTCTGGGTTAGGGGTTACACTGGGGATGGTTCTGATCTCTGGGTTAGGGGGTTACACTGGGGATGGGACTTTTCTGATCTCTGGGTTAGGGGTTCCAATGGGGATGGGACTTTTCTGATCTCTGGGTTATGGTTTACACTTGGGATGTCACTATTCTGATCTCTGGGTTAGGGGTTACACTGGGGATGGCACTGTTCTGATCTCTCGGTTAGGGGTTACACTGGGGATGGGACTGTTGTGAACTCTGGGTTATGGTTTACACTAGGGATGGCACTGTTCTGATCTCTCGGTTAGCGGTTACACTGGGGATGGGACTGTTCTGATCTGTGAATTAGAGGTTTACACTGGGACTGTTATGATCTCTGGGTTAGGAGTTACACGGGGACTGTTATGATCTCTGGGGTAAGGGGTTACGTGGGGACTGTTCTGATCTCTGGGTTAGGGGGTTACACTGGGGATGGCATTGTTCTGATCTCTAAGTTAGGGTTTACACTGGGGATGGGACTGTTCTGATCTCTGGGTTATGGGTTACACTGGGGATGGCACTGTTCTGATCTCTCGGTTAGCGGTTACACTGGGGATGGGACTGTTCTGATCTGTGAATTAGAGGTTTACACTGGGACTGTTATGATATCTGGGTTAGAGGTTTACACTGGGACTGTTATGATCTCTGTGTTAGAGGTTTACACTGGGACTGTTATGATCTCTGTGTTAGAGGTTTACACTGGGACTGTTATGATCTCTGGGTTAGGGGTTATACTGGGACTGTTATGATCTGTGGGTTAGGGGTTACACTGGTTTGAAGAATAGTGGCTTACCTACACACCAAGTCCTTGTACCAGACCAAGTTCCATGATGGTTACAAGTCCTCAGTGTGTCCCCAAACGCTCGCCAGCCTCGATCACATGTTACAGCCAGAGTGGAGCCATATATGGTACTGTTATTGGTGTAGGTTGTCACGCCATGTGTCACTTCCTGTTGGTGAAAATCCAAGCTTTGACAGTCTATCACTGAAATACAGACAAGAGGGTTTTGACTGCAAAAACACAACAAAGTAAAACCTACACACAATCAACTTTTAGCAGATAATCTGAAATCATAGCATACTCTACCTTTATATCAAATAGCATTATTCAAAGACTTGGTCAAATTGTGGTTACCTTGACAACTAGGGACCTGACCCTGCCATGTTCCATTTGGAAGGCAGATAAGACCTGGGTGGCCCGTCAGTCTGTAGCCATGGCTACACTGGTAGTGACATGAGTTGTCAGGGAGGTTGTCACATGAAACACCACTGTCTGGTCGCTCATCATGTACACGGCCTTGAACTTGGAACTTCCTACCGTGGGGAATGCTGGGTAACTCCTCACATTGTTGTACTGATTAAATGTCAATGAAAATATAAGACAGATGACAAAAACATTAACTTAAATAGACTTTATCTAGTAAATTAAGTGGATATGTGTTTGTATAAAAGTACATTTTGATATTATAATGAAATATGAGAGAAAATTTGCGGGTTATTACTTACACTGACAAGGCATCCCTTGATCCTCTCGGTAGTATGGAGATTTGCATAGACACTGCTGGAGGGAATAGGCCCCTAGGGACCTGGTCTCAGAATGGGCTGGACACGGGTGGCACCTGCCAGGAATAAGTCCCTGTTTGTAGAAGCCAATAGAACAGGCTGAAAATGAAGGCAGGTCATGGTTTTTACCTTATAGTTATACAAAACAATGATAGAGTTTATGGTGTCCAATTAAAGGCAAATATTAATATTGAATGAAGAGTTCTAGTTTAGTATGCAATCTTTCTAAGCAGAGTAACTGTAGAAAAATGGCTGATGTCCATGACTGCAAGAATGATCTTGTGTGTATGTACTACGTTGGGCATACAATATCCCTTCCTGCCATTACCAGCGTCACTGTACAATGTACTTAGAAATCTTAAAGGACATCTGATTTATTAGATAACTAAGTCAGTTGTCTAATTCAGAGGTTATGATTATTGATATTAAGTTGCGCTTACCCTCACATTTAAGACCATTACCATGGTAACCCGCTTTACAGACACAATGGTAGTCACCTGACCTCGTTCCGCAGGCACAGTGAGCATGCTCAGAACAGCCCATGTGACACAATGATCGATCAGACAGGAGATGCCAGTTCTCAATCTGTTGGTCTGACAGGAAACAAAATATAATATACAGTAATTCATGCCTGAACTAATAACTACTTTCTATAGATCATGGATTAATTTTCAACTTTCACAATATATTATCAATCTTTTTAAAAATATTTATAACACATGTATTATGTTCAATTCTGATAGTCACCTGAGAGTATTTTGAGGTACACACTGTCTAATATACATGCCATGAACAATTATTTACTACTAATAACAATAAATTAAACAGGCGTCTACTTAAGGTGTAAAGAAAGAGAAAGCTGTTCAAATGTGACTTAAGTCATCTAGATGTAGAAATTAGTCTATCTTTAAAATGTGAGTACAGTTACACCTGCTTATACTGAACACCTGTGTAAAGAGACCACTTATAATGTTCTGCATTGTAGAGATATTGTGAACTGAACCTGTATTAATAGACCACCTGTATTAAGAGACCACCTGTATTAAAAGATGGCTTTTTTAATTTACCTCGATGAAGAGAACGGGCAAGTTGTTCAAACGCTCTGAAGTTTGGTAGATGGTAAGTATGATTTTGGAGGGGAGAGGCAATGGAAGCTAGCTCTGAGGAAACAGCATTCTGAATCCCGAAGGCATAGATCTCTAGCTGTGGACCCCCAACGGAGACGTTCCATGTAGAATTCCACTGAAGAGACCGGAGCTCCACAGATGCACGGACAGGGGGTAGCCCGATATTGGACCGCCCATCTGTCAACACAAACACTGCCTTCTTGGCACGCCGGCGAGATGAGTATAGGATGTTCCGAGTTGTCACAAGGGCATCGTGTGTTGCAGTGAAGCCAGACAGCTGATGTCGCGTCAACTTCTGTCTTATCCTCCTCATCAGCGAACACTTGTCCTCCAAAGTTTCACCAAGGTCATTTATGTCCACACTTGGTACTGTGCTGTATGTTACTATGGCAACCCGGGTATTATCATTGTCCACTGTGAAATGTTGGAGAACTGACCTGACAAAGGCAAGCATAGCTCCCCAACCCTCGGTCATCACGCTTGCTGACCGGTCCAAGACAAATACAAGATCTACCTCATAATTAGAGTAACGATGATAAAACTCCTCTAGAACTTGATGACCTCTTTCCACAATGTCTGACCTATCGTCAGTTGATTGAACATGGGATAGTGTACTGGTTACAAGAAGTAATAGGGTAAATATTTTCAAAATCATCTTCAGGACTTCCGCAGAGCAATTCAAAACTGAAACAGGTGGATGACTGAAACAACAATATTTATATTAACAGTGAGGGCTGACCAATCAAACCAACCTAGTCGTTGACCTATGTGCTACAGCAATTTCTACAAACATGTGATGTATTTAATATAACAAGGACAGTATCTAATGGCTTCAGATGACTGAAGTACTACTTTGGCCACCACAACCCTTACCTTTGTTAAGTGAAGGACAACCAATCTGACCTTTGTACAGTTTTACCTTTGTACAGGATTAGGACTGTCTGATAGACCATCTTTGAAAGGGTTAGGACTGTCTATGAGTCCAACCTTTAAAAAGTTAAGGACTGTCTGTTAGTTCTGCCTTTGTAAAGTTTAGGATTGTCTGTTAGTTCTACCTTTGTACAGTTTAGGATTGTCTGTTAGTTCTACCTTTGTACAGTTTAGGACTGTCTGTTTGTTCTACATTTGTACAGTTTAGGATTGTCTGTTAGTTCTACCTTTGTACAGTTTAGGATTGTCTGTTAGTTCTGCCTTTGTATAGTTTAGGACTGTCTATTAGGTCTACCTTTGTACAGTTTAGGACTGTCTGTTAGTTCTACCTGATAACAGTTTAGGACTGTCTGTTAGTTCTACCTTTGAACAGTTGAGGACTGTCTGTTAGTTCTACCTTTGTACAGTTTAGGATTGTCTGTTAGTTCTACCTTTGTACAGTTTAGGATTGTCTGTTAGTTCTGCCTTTGTATAGTTTAGGACTGTCTATTAGGTCTACCTTTGTACAGTTTAGGACTGTCTGTTAGTTCTACCTGGTAACAGTTTAGGATTGTCTGTTAGTTCTACTTTTGTACGGTTTAGGATTGTCTGTTTGTTCTACGTTTGTACGGTTTAGGATTGTCTGTTTGTTCTACATTTGTACAGTTTAGGACTGTCTGTTAGTTCTACCTGATAAAAGTTTAGGACTGTCTGTTAGTTCTACCTTTGAACAGTTGAGGATTGTCTGTTAGTTCTACCTTTGTACAGTTTAGGATTGTCTGTTAGTTCTTCCTTTGAACAGTTTAGGATTGTCTGTTAGTTCTACCTTTGTACAGTTTAAGAGTGTCTGATAGTTCTACCTTCGTACAGTTTATGACTGTCTGTTAGTTAAACCTTTGTACAGTTTAGGAATATCTGTTAGTTCTTCCTTTGTACAGTTTAGGATTGTCTGTTAGTTCTACCTATGTACAGTTTAGGATTGTCTGTTAGTTCTTCCTTTGAACAGTTAAGGACTGTCTGTTAGTTCTTCCTTTGTACAGTTTATGATTGTCTGTTAGTTCTACCTTTGTACAGTTAAGGATTGTCTGTTAGTTCTGCCGTTGTACAGTTAAGGACTGTCTGTTAGTTCTACCTTTGAACAGTTTAGGATTGTCTGTTAGTTCTACCTTTGTACAGTTTAGGACTGTCTGTTAGTTCTTCCTTTGTACAGTTTATGATTGTCTGTTAGTTCTACCTTTGTACAGTTAAGGATTGTCTGTTAGTTCTGCCGTTGTACAGTTTAGGATTATCTTGTACAGTTAAGGATTGTCTGTTAGTTCTGCCGTTGTACAGTTAAGGACTGCCTGTTAGTTCTACCTTTGAACAGTTTAGGATTGTCTGTTAGTTCTTCCTTTGAACAGTTAAGGACTGTCTGTTAGTTCTTCCTTTGTACAGTTTATGATTGTCTGTTAGTTCTACCTTTGTACAGTTAAGGATTGTCTGTTAGTTCTGCCGTTGTACAGTTAAGGACTGCCTGTTAGTTCTACCTTTGAACAGTTTAGGATTGTCTGTTAGTTCTTCCTTTGAACAGTTAAGGACTGTCTGTTAGTTCTTCCTTTGTACAGTTTATGATTGTCTGTTAGTTCTACCTTTGTACAGTTTAGGATTGGCTGTTAGTTCTACCTTCGTATAGTTTAGGCCTGTCTGTTAGTTCTGCCGTTGTACAGTTTAGGATTGTCTGTTACTTTTTCCTTTGTACAGTTTAGGATTGTCTGTTAGTTCTTCCTTTGAACAGTTTAGGATTGTCTGTTAGTTATACCTTTGTACAGTTTAGGATTGTCTGTTAGTTCTACCTTTGTACAGTTAAGGATTGTCTGTTAGTTCTGCCGTTGTACAGTTTAGGATTATCTTGTACAGTTAAGGATTGTCTGTTAGTTCTGCCGTTGTACAGTTTAGGACTGTCTGTTAGTTCTACCTGATAAAAGTTTAGGATTGTCTGTTAGTTCTACCTTTGAACAGTTGAGGATTATCTGTTAGTTCTACCTTTGTACAGTTTAGGATTTTCTGTTAGTTCTACCTTTGTACAGTTTAGGATTTTCTGTTAGTTCTACCTTTGTACAGTTTAGGATTGGCTGTTAGTTCTACCTTCGTATAGTTTAGGCCTGTCTGTTAGTTCTGCCGTTGTACAGTTTAGGATTATCTTGTACAGTTAAGGATTGTCTGTTAGTTCTGCCGTTGTACAGTTTAGGATTATCTTGTACAGTTAAGGATTGTCTGTTAGTTCTGCCGTTGTACAGTTTAGGACTGTCTGTTAGTTCTACCTTTGTACAGTTTAGGATTTTCTGTTAGTTCTACCTTTGTACAGTTTAGGATCGTCTGTTAGTTCTTCCTTTGTACAGTTTAGGAATATCTGTTTGTTCTTCCTTTGTACAGTTTAGGATTGTCTGTGAGTTCTACCTTTGTACAGTTTAGGATTGTCTGTTAGTTCTACCTTCGTATAGTTTAGGACTGTCTGTTAGTTCTGCCGTTGTACAGTTTAGGATTGTCTGTTACTTTTTCCTTTGTATAGTTTAGGATTGTCTGTTAGTTCTGCCGTTGTACAGTTTAGGATTGTCTGTTAGTTCTGCCGTTGTACAGTTTAGGAGTGTCTGTTACTTCTTCCTTTGTATAGTTTAGGACTGTCTGTTAGTTCTGCCGTTGTACAGTTTAGGATTATCTGTTAGTTCTGCCGTTATACAGTTTATGATTATCTGTTAGTTCTGCCGTTGTACAGTTTAGGACTGTCTGTTAGTTCTACCTTCGTACATTTTAGGACTGTCTGTTTGTTCTACCTTTGTTCAGTTTAGGACTGTCTGTTAGTTCTACCTTTGTACAGTTTAGGACTGTCAGTAAATAATGCCTTTGTACATTTTAGGATTTTTTTTGGTAGATGGGTGACACAACTCTCCTTATGTGACTTTGAATATAACCGAATTCAATATTGACCCTATGGTGGTGTGACTTTAGCTATACGCATGTGTGACATTTGTTAAAAGTATTTATGATCTTAGCTATAAACTGCTATGACCTTGGCTAAAGCTAATTACAAGCTATAAGATGGTGTTATCTTGGCTAAAAGTTGGTGTGACCTTGTCTAAAACTGCCATGGCATTGGCTATAAATATAGTGGATTACAAACTATAAGCTGGTGTTAGTGTGGCTTAAAGCTAGTCTGGCACTTGCTCTTGTCTGATTTAACCTTGACAATAAGTTGGTGACATTTGACATTTGACATTTTGCATTTACCTGGTGTAACCTTGATAACAAGAAGTTGTGACCTTGACGAAAAACTAATGTGACATTGCATTTTCCTGGTGTAAACTTGACAATAAGTTAGTGTAATCTTGACCACAAGATGGTGTGACCTTGGCTATAAGCTGGTCCCATCCCCTTCAACTTTTGGAATAAATAATAAGAAAGTAAATAATGGAGAGGATAAATGTGAGAAAAATGAAATAATATAAACTGAACCGGCAGATTTAGTGTTACGTCTACATAGATCAATACTCAGTCAGGACAAATAATGTCATGTAAGTTCGTCATGTTCTCGTTCTTCTCAAATATCAAATATTTAGTTGTAGAGCAAATTAGGTCAAGTCTCAATATTTCTTGATAACACCAAACGGAAGTATTTCACTTTCTCATAACTGTTAACACTTAATTCATGTCCTAATTTGAATCTTGCCTCGTGTCTGCTTAGATACCTAACCTAGGTCGGATTTTGAGAATTAAAAACGTTTCCAAAGCAGAACTGTTTAGTTTGTGAAGGTGGGATCAGTGCGTTATAAATGTGTATTGGAAGTAACGGTAAAGTTACATAGTTTAACATGACATTTCGGTTAGAAATGATAACATTGTTATCTTACAATATAAATCTGAATAACAATGTATCTGGTTCTACTTTTTCTTATGTCAAAATGTTCCATTGTAAAAATAAATTTCGTTTTAACAAGAATTTTGCAATGGCCATTATTATAATACCTAATCCTATCACCCTTTAACGGCCATTAACTGATAGAAAATTACCTGGTAAGTGAGTTTTCACTGGCTCCTGAGGCTGCAATCCCTTTCCAGTCCAAGATTGTATCACATAAGTATTGTGTATAAACATAAATATTGTGTCCATACCTTTTATGACGCACAGACCACAGACACACGCGCTGCCCCGGTGTACCAGGAGGAGGCTGAATCAGGCCGTAAGAATGTGTCGCGGGAAGTCCTGCGGATAATGGGAGATGTTATCTGTGACGTCCCTCGCGCACTGCCAATTAACATAAGGGGCACGATCCCAGTCTCCTAAATCAACGGCTAACGTCCGATGGCGAAGGTGATATCTCCAAGGACATCACGGAAAAGGCATCATACGCAAAACAACGAAGATAATTAGTCCGAGCCGAGTATTGCTTGATTCGAGATTATAACAGTAATTAAACTAGAATTAATGAGTGAAGTTTGCTAATGCACAAACTAGTCGATTCTGTTTACACGTTGTTGGTGTTTATAACGGCACTTTGACTTCAGAAACGCCGTCGTAGCATAACTAGCATAAGTTTAGAAGCGGCAAATTTGAAACGGTTGTTGTACTCGGATTTCTGATTTAACAGGTATTACTCCGTTACCCCATACTCCTACTACATGTAGTACATAATTAGTAGGAATGGATAAGGAAAATTTAGCATTACTGTTTAGTTAGGTCTTTATTTCCTCGCAAAAGGTATGTTTCTTATATGAAAACATGTTTTCAACACACTTAAACATGTATTTCAACCCCCGCTAGACATACTTTATTTTCCTATAACCCTAGGTTTATAAACATTAACACAAAAGCATGGGTATCGACTTGAATTTTTCCCGATTATAATTATGAACGTTTATTTTATAACTAGTTGAAGGCACATCTAAGGCATATGATGTTCACAGACCCGATTATCCGAGTTTATTGTATAAAACGCCATTGTCGGTACATCAAAGATCAAATAAAACACTACTTACAGTCTATTTGTATTGTATGAAACACACTTATGATACATTTATATTGAAAATGATAATCGGTAGGTGTGTACGTTTCTTTATAGTGGTGTGTGATAAACTGGAAGGGGGAGGGCAGGGAAATCACGTGATGTCTTTTTCATGTAACCACATTGTCCCACAGAGCTGATCTCATTATTTCTATATGCGTCAGTCTTCTGTCTTGTATGCATAACATGAGTATAAGAAGTAGCAAATACATACGCACATGCACGCATGTATCCTCACTCGACAATGCTGATTCGTCCAAGACAAGTCACGCTGGCCCACCTGTTTACATTAACAAGACAAGTCACGCACGGCTCACCTGTCTACATTACCAAGACAAGTCACCCACGGCTCACCTGTTTTTTACATTACAAAACCAAGTCACACACGCCTCACCTGTCTACATCACCAAAACAAGTCACTCACGGCTCACCTGTCTTCATTACCAAAACAAGTCACACACGGCTCACCTGTTTACATTACAAAACCAAGTCACACACGGCTCACCTGTTTACATTACCAAGACGAGTCACACACGGCTCACCTGTTTACATTACCAAGACAAGTCACGCACGGCTCACCTGTCTACATTACCAAAACAAGTCACGCACGGCTCACCTGTCTACATTACCAAGACAAGTCACACACGGCTCACCTGTTTACATTACCAAGACAAGTCACACACGGCTCACCTGTTTACATTACCAAGACAAGTCACACACGGCTCACCTGTTTACATTACCAAGACAAGTCACACACGGCTCACCTGTTTACATTACCAAGACAAGTCACACACGGCTCACCTGTTTACATTACCAAGACAAGTCACACACGGCTCACCTGTTTACATTACCAAGACAAGTCACACACGGCTCACCTGTTTACATTACCAAGACAAGTCACACACGGCTCACCTGTTTACATTACCAAGACAAGTCACACACGGCTCACCTGTTTACATTACCAAGACAAGTCACACACGGCTCACCTGTTTACATTACCAAGACAAGTCACACACGGCTCACCTGTTTACATTACCAAGACAAGTCACACACGGCTCACCTGTTTACATTACCAAGACAAGTCACACACGGCTCACCTGTTTACATTACCAAGACAAGTCACACACGGCTCACCTGTTTACATTACCAAGACAAGTCACACACGGCTCACCTGTTTACATTACCAAGACAAGTCACACACGGCTCACCTGTTTACATTACCAAGACAAGTCACACACGGCTCACCTGTTTACATTACCAAGACAAGTCACACACGGCTCACCTGTTTACATAACCAAGACAAGTCACACACGGCTCACCTGTTTACATTACAAACGGTTACAGCTGACAGAAAAGCATTCACACGTGTAGGTTTTTTGTTGGAAAATGAAGTAATTATTAAATTAAATAACAAATTCACGCACGTGCATTATTGTCCAATAATATATTTTTTTTACTTATTATAAGGGTCGTTGAAATGTCAAATTGGAAGAATATTGTATATATAACTATAATTACGGTATATTGAATTACACTTGTCCAATGTTGCATGGTTTTCGATTTAAAAGTTGTTCAAATTGTGACCTTTGTAAATGGTCTAGGGACAAAATATCATATTTGCAAAATGTATAAGTACGTTTATTTAATTTGAAAAGAGAAAGAAACACACATGTATACTACAAATTACCGTTGTATTCTACATGTCTGTATACCATATCTATTGGGGGTCTTCTTTACTGTATGTCGTGTTTTATGTACAATCTATAGCATTGTGTACAGACAGCATAAACAAAGTCAGTGGAGTTTAAACCTGTATCTTACATGACAGACACCAGATCTGTCCGTGTTTTAGACAAGGCCACGTTTGAGATGCTGCAGACCTCGTTATTTTAGATAACAGGTGACGATTCCTGTCTGGGTGCGGGCATTGTCGTCCATAACCTGATATTATGATTCGTTCAACCTCATTGTTTATGTAACCTTACTCCAGCTGTAGGTCACTTATCTTCCAGTTCTTTGAGTTTTTATCCATGACGTGTATACACACAAACAACTCGTCTAATGTATACTACGCGGGACGACACCACACAAACAACTCGTCTAATGTATACTACGCGGGACGACACCACACAAACAACTCGTCTAATGTACTACGCGGGACGACACCACACAAACAACTCGTCTAATGTATACTACGCGGGACGACACCACACAAACAACTCGTCTAATGTACTACGCGGGACGACACCACACAAACAACTCGTCTAATGTATACTACGCGGGACGACACCACACAAACAACTCGTCTAATGTATACTACGCGGGACGACACCACACAAACAACTCGTCTAATGTACTACGCGGGACGACACCACACAAACAACTCGTCTAATGTATACTACGCGGGACGACACCACACAAACAACTCGTCTAATGTACTACGCGGGACGACACCACACAAACAACTCGTCTAATGTACTACGCGGGACGACACCACACAAACAACTCGTCTAATGTACTACGCGGGACGACACCACACAAACAACTCGTCTAATGTACTACGCGGGACGACACCACACAAACAACTCGTCTAATGTACTACGCGGGACGACACCACACAAACAACTCGTCTAATGTACTACGCGGGACGACACCACACAAACAACTCGTCTAATGTACTACGCGGGACGACACCACACAAACAACTCGTCTAATGTACTACGCGGGACGACACCACACAAACAACTCGTCTAATGTACTACGCGGGACGACACCACACAAACAACTCGTCTAATGTACTACGCGGGACGACACCACACAAACAACTCGTCTAATGTACTACGCGGGACGACACCACACAAACAACTCGTCTAATGTACTACGCGGGACGACACCACACAAACAACTCGTCTAATGTACTACGCGGGACGACACCACACAAACAACTCGTCTAATGTACTACGCGGGACGACACCACACAAACAACTCGTCTAATGTACTACGCGGGACGACACCACACAAACAACTCGTCTAATGTACTACGCGGGACGACACCACACAAACAACTCGTCTAATGTACTACGCGGGACGACACCACACAAACAACTCGTCTAATGTACTACGCGGGACGACACCACACAAACAACTCGTCTAATGTACTACGCGGGACGACACCACACAAACAACTCGTCTAATGTACTACGCGGGACGACACCACACAAACAACTCGTCTAATGTACTACGCGGGACGACACCACACAAACAACTCGTCTAATGTACTACGCGGGACGACACCACACAAACAACTCGTCTAATGTACTACGCAGGACGACACCACACAAACAACTCGTCTAATGTATACTACGCGGGACGACACCACACAAACAACTCGTCTAATGTATACTACACGGGACGACACCACACAAACAACTCGTCTAATGTATACTACGCGGGACGACACCACACAAACAGCTCGTCTAATGTATACCACTGATCTTTCGATCCATGTGCGACATGTGTGTGAAAGTGACGATTTGTTTCTAAAATATCAGTTTGAAGTGCGCTCCGGGCGCGGGTCGCATATTTCCCGCATATTATAGAGGGCCGGAGTTCTGACGTTAATCGACGACAGACCGATATGAAAAAAGTCGATAAAACGTCAGAATAATTCGGACTAACCACTGCAGTTTAATAAATCGCACGTTTGTTTCCTCAATACTTGGTCTATATAAAAACCTAAAATTGTATTGAAGATCTGTTTGTGGACAGACATGTATACTGAATGATGATGACGTTTTTATGGGCCGTATTTTCATCTCCTATCATCTTTTTGTTTTTTGAAGACGTTTTCGCGGATATGAAATGGTAAATCATTCAGAAAGAAATGTTGCTGTACTATGTTGCAAATCAATCAGGTTAACTGTTCTTTTAACTATGTAAACGTATTCTAATGAATGGAAAACAGATTCATTAATATTTTTTGACTTAATAGAATCATTGAGAATATTTATTTTACTAAATAACAAGTTTCGTACTTGCCAACCGTCCCTTTTTAGGAGAGAGACTCCCGATTTTGGACCCTAAATGCTCACCTATTCCAGGGATGTGTAGTGACACATCCCTGCCTATTCCTATTGATTTCATCTGAAAGAATAGCTCAAAAGGTGCCTATAAGTGTTATTTTTGCCTTGGGCGTACATACACACATATTGTTTATTCTTTTAATTCTGAGCACGCGTAATCACCTCAATGGAAATTTCAAAAAGTTGGCAAGTATGAAGTTGTAATTAAAAAATGTGAATTTATAAAAAGAAAATTGCGGTCGGTGAAATCGGTTTTGATACGACCCCTACTAACCTTGTAGCAGGAAGTTGTTTAAAGTTGTCTCCCTTGCACTGTATATTTTTCACTTCCGCAAGTCATGTGCTGTTTGTTATGAATCGGACAAATAGGTATGTATCACACGGCCAGTAAGTCTGGCATCCATCACAGATTTTTGTTTGCAATAGCAAAATAAGTCAGAGTGATAATTACGTATGTGTAACAAATAAGCGGAGAATAAGTCCGTCAAAGATTTGGTGAGTATCCGTCCCTACCAGCCACTGGGTCGGATCGACCATTCCACGTCGTCTGTACAGCCAGCTCCGGTGACAAGTTCAAGTTCTTTGATTTTGATTTTAAAACGATGAAAAATATATGGTGATCAAATTAAAGTTAATTGTTTATTTGATGGAATATTTTGTCTTTCTTTCAAGGTTTACAGCCGCTGCCGTTCAACAGTTCATTTGCATGTAAGGTTGAATATGATGTTAGACTCCTTTCTTTCATGTCTTTATCAGTGTTTATAGATTAACATCTTTCTTTTGATTAAGTCTTTTCTTTATTTGCATGTTCTATTATTATTAAAATCGCAGTAATAACCATAAGTGATTGATCAATGCTTATGCAAGGTGTAAAACCGTCTTACATATTTTAAGTAATTTGATTTGTGTATCATAGTTGTAGGTCTAAATAGTACTCCAGTGTGGTTATAAAAGTATTCTAGAATATAAATATGACTTTATTTTTTTTTAAAGAGAAACAAAATACTTTCAAGCATACAGTGAATCTTTCTTATCTTTATAGTTATGTAATGACAATTTAGTTCTTTTTAGGATCTTGTAATTAATTTGAGTTTGGGATCTTTTATTTGTATTGATAACTGACTGTAATTTATAAGAAACTTAATACTTTGTAAAAGATTTGATAAGTTATGTTAGTTGATGTACGTTCACCTCAAGGTAAGAATATATCCTCTAATTCTCCTTAACACCTCGACTATTCATCCTACAGCACATCCAGCCGACTCTACCATCAACTCCTCTGACTGTGTGTGGCTAGTCACATAATGATTGTGATGTCGGTCACACAATATGAGAATTAAGATCATAGCTTATTGCTTTCCTTAGCAAGGCATCACTGTTTACTGCAATAAACAACACAGTTGTTAGTGATAATTGAGAAGGAGATACTGGTTTTTCGGTTAAAAGCTCATTAGAGCTTATGTTTTGTAGTTTGTAACTATACCGAATTTAAATAAAACTTTCATATCATTGTGTTTTTATATACCACTCTGTTTTACGTTAACTTTTCTGCATTGCTGTGCTTAATATTGTATACGACATTGTAAAACAGAATGATATAAGCTGAATATAACATATTGTATCTTCATTTTTAGTTCAATTAGTTTGTAAATGTTAAAACAAATACTATATATACAAATGTATTATATTTAACCATGTTCAATAACACAAATTGCTACATATAACCACAGACTTAGATCTAATCTAATTCTGTGATATAACTGACATTGAATTTGTATAATTTATATGTATATATATATATGGTTTCAATGTATTTTCTCTTAATACTTTGTGTCAGTAAGCAATGTAATATTAAGTGGAATCCACTACATGTGCTATAAAATATACAATGTATATATCATACTTATTTTATTGGTAAGGAAGGGGAAGGTAGACTACTGTTGAACTCTCTGGATTAGCTTACTGGGGGTAATAGTAAGTGTGCCTCTGTATTACGGTGCAGCTTGGTAGATTAGAGCAGTACGAGATACAGGTAGATATGTAGTATATTACGGGCGATGTGTAGGTGATGACTCCATAAATATCCAGCAATGTGTAAACTCTCTGCACTAACCTCTGCACATGTCGCTCTAACACATGTCGCTCTAACATTAATCACTCACACACAACACTGAATTGTCCCAGACTCAATTTAGTAAGCTAGATATAAATAATTTCCACAAAATGTGATAAAAAACTGTAAATACGATAATAACAAGTGGTAAGAAGTGAATTACTGGACCTCTGTAATATTATTATACTTCTAGAGAGTAAATGATATACTCTTAAATTTTATATACTCGTTTTTAGTGAAATGACTATTAAATGAGACAATATATCATGATTATACACATGATTGTACTTATAATATATAACTAATACCATTGTACCAGAGAGAACACAACTTGCTGGCTTTATATTACTTTAAGCTTACTCTAAATATTCTATAAACTACAGTACAAGCCTTTCAGAGTGTTTCTTCTTTGTATATTAACATTACACCTGTAAATATTTCCTGATAAACCTGATGTTTCTGTTCAGATGTTTGTTTACCAGTGCAGTTTGTGTGTGAAGTAAGTCCTATATCTCTGATTTATTGTTATAAATCACTTATTCTCCTGTTTTTGTAATGCAAACTTTCCCCCCCCCCTATACGAGTGAGTTATAAATCTAAATGATGACATTAATCACTGTAAATTATCAAATGATTCTCTGAATGTACCTGATACCCTGTAACGATGATGGATTAACTTGTTATTTTCAGTCTGACTGGCTATGTGAGAAGTACACTGTGTTAAATATCTTTTTATGTTCATTATCACATGAGCATTTGATAGACTATCATACATTTTCTCTTCTGTATGTTGTTTTTTGCAAAACTTTCCCTGACAAAGGATCATGATGTGTGGTAATAAAAAGTTAGTAATTTCATAGGATGAGGGGAGATTGAAAACATTGCACTTTTCTAGTTCCAGTAACAAATTGTTCTTTTCCTTTGTTTTTCCAAAAATAAAACCAATGTTCAAAGTGATTAGAATTATTTTCAATTCCTCAATATACAACATGACAGAAACCAGAAACTGAAGAAGAAATTTATTGTTTTGTGTGTTTCACTATTTCCTGTGAGCATGCTTTTATTAGGGTTTGATTTTGAAGGTTTTACGTCTGCTATTACGGCCTTCCAGCCTTTCAGTAGACAATATTAGGGTTTACTGATACAAAGTTTATGTATTCTGAAGGTAGGGATCAACTCCGAGTAGATTATAATTATTGCATACAGGACACAAAGGTAGTGATTCACCACACATAGACTATAACACAGAGAAAGGTAAGGATACAACACACAGAAACACCATGGCCATCTTATAATTAAGTAACAGTGAAGGGGCTAGTGGTTCAACAACTAAAGGACAAAGCTGTGAGTGAGGGAGAAGTGATCCTTTAGTACTTAGTGTTGTGTGAACATCCTAATCTGTCTATCTGTTGACCTATTTAAGGTTCTCATGAAAGTTTGTGTGGTTCGTTTAAAATCCTTCCTTAAATACATGTACTGGCTGTATACAATATACTATCAGTTTAATACCCGGCGGTCTAACCGTCTTCAGTGTTTCACTGTACTTTTATATTATAGGTCCTGCCTGCATTCGTTGTTGTATGTATTTAGACTCTAAAATGGTTTTGTTACAATTTACAAGTTTTGCTGGTGCCTTTTTACAAGGGAACTTAATGGAAAAAAAGAAGTATTTACTGCAAAAATCACATCTATCTTTAACAAAATCTTGATTCTACAGCATTATTCGATGTTCAGTCATTTGCTTTAATCAAAGATTTTAAAATACATCCGATATACACTTTCAGTTGCTCCTATTTGACAGCAAATGTAAAGTTTCAGATTAATTGAGTTTTTGCATGAAATACAAGATGAAGGGAATTCTGATTTCAAAAGTGAAAATTTAAATAAGCTGAATAATTTGGAGACTAGGCAAGTATGACATAATGACTGATTAGTGAATTGATCACCACCGTACTTTGTTACACTATACAATACAACAATTTATGTACAGTGTAAGTTTATATACATTGTGCTGTGATACTATACAATACAACAATATATGTACAATGTAATTTTATGTACATTGGGTTGTGATACTATACAATACAACAATATATGTACAATGTAAGTTTATGTATATTGTGTTGTGATACTATACAATACAACAATATATGTATAATGTAAGTTTATGTACATTGTGCTGTGATACTATACAATGCAACAATATATGTACAATGTAAGTTTATATACATTGTGCTGTGATACTATATAATACAACAATATATGTACAATGTAAGTTTATGTATATTGTGTTGTGATACTATACAATACAACAATATATGTATAATGTAAGTTTATGTACATTGTGCTGTGATACTATACAATACAACAATATATGTACAATGTAATTTTATGTACATTGGGTTGTGATACTATACAATACAACAATATATGTACAATGTAAGTTTATGTATATTGTGTTGTGATACTATACAATACAACAATATATGTACAATGTAATTTTATGTACATTGTGTTGTGATACTATACAATACAACAATATATGTACAATTTAAGTTTATATACATTGTGCTGTGATACTATACAATACAACAATATATGTACAATGTAATTTTATGTACATTGGGTTGTGATACTATACAATACAACAATATATGTACAATGTAATTTTATGTACATTGGGTTGTGATACTATACAATACAACAATATATGTACAATGTAATTTTATGTACATTGGGTTGTGATACTATACAATACAACAATATATGTATAATTTAAGTTTATGTACATTGTGCTGTGATACTATACAATGCAACAATATATGTACAATGTAAGTTTATACACATTGTGCTGTGATACTATACAATACAACAATATATGTACAATGTAATTTTATGTACATTGGGTTGTGATACTATACAATACAACAATATATGTATAATGTAAGTTTATGTACATTGTGCTGTGATACTATACAATGCAACAATATATGTACAATGTAAGTTTATATACATTGTGCTGTGATACTATCCAATACAACAATTTATGTACAATGTAAGTTTATGTACATTGTGCTGTGATACTATACAATGCAACAATATATGTACAATGTAAGTTTATACACATTGTGCTGTGATACTATACAATACAACAATATATGTACAGTGTAAGTTTATATACATTGTGTTGTGATACTATATAATACAACAATATATGTACAATGTAAGTTTATATACATTGTGCTGTGATACTATACAATGCATTACTATGTGATGCAACAAAATAATGTATCTTTATACAATGTTATACAATGTATCTTTACACAATGTATTTTCCTTGTTTTTCAGATAAATGTAACCTAGAGAAGTGTCTGGTCTTGTGTTACAATGTTGGGAGTAGAGGGGTGATGGGTGATCAGGCTACAAAGATAATTTACCCTGATGATAGGTTTGAAGAGAAAAGAGAAGCACCCTCCAAAGATAAAGATGGGTCATGTGATGAAGCTATAGTGGTGCCACCTTGTGGCCCGTTGGGAGAGGATGAGTACAGGCCGTGTGAGAGGAGGAATGCAGACAATTTGTCAGAATCGAGAGCCTCCCTGACCAGTAGCAGTACTGATAATGGTGTGCCCTCTCTTGGGGAGTCTAACATGGAGGGCGTGTCTGTGTCATTACAGCCACAGGATACTGGTCACTCCCAGATCACCAGCACCCCCCTGACCGGAGTCTCCCTCGACCACACCCGGATGGCTGCTCACCTGAAGAGGGCATTCTCACGATCACACAGTCGAAATGAGGAGCCAGCCTCTTCTCACAAAGTGACGGGGATGAATGAGGAAATCAAGGTCCCCATTGTAGGCTTTGAGGTCATGGAGGAGAGGTCAAAGTTTACAGTGAGTTTCTCATTCATCTTATTTTTAAATATTCAACTATAACTGTAATATATTTAACTATGTAATATATAACTGTAATATATTTAACTATGTATTGTATAACTGTAATATACTTAACTATGTAATATATAACTGTAATATATTTAACTATGTATTGTATAACTGTAATATATTTAACTATGTAATGTATAACTGTAATATATTTAACTATGTATTGTATAACTGTAATATATTTAACTATGTAATGTATAACTGTAATATACTTAACTATGTAATGTATAACTGTAATATATTTAACTATGTAATGTATAACTGTAATATATTTAACTATGTAATGTATAACTGTAATATACTTAACTATGTAATGTATAACTGTAATATACTTAACTATGTAATGTATAACTGTAATATATTTAACTATGTAATGTATAACTGTAATATACTTAACTATGTAATGTATAACTGTAATATACTTAACTATGTAATGTATAACTGTAATATATTTAACTATGTAATGTATAACTGTAATATATTTAACTATGTAATGTATAACTGTAATATACTTAACTATGTAATGTATAACTGTAATATACTTAACTATGTAATGTATAACTGTAATATATTTAACTATGTAATGTATAACTGTAATATATTTAACTATGTAATGTATAACTGTAATATACTTAACTATGTAATGTATAACTGTAATATACTTAACTATGTAATGTATAACTGTAATATATTTAACTATGTAATGTATAACTGTAATATATTTAACTATGTAATGTATAACTGTAATATACTTAACTATGTAATATATAACTGTAATATACTTAACTATGTAATGTATAACTGTAATATATTTAACTATGTAATGTATAACATATAATTGGAGGTGTATGTATATAGCTTTACTGTTTGTGAATCTGTATGTATGTTATAAGTGAATCCCTGTTGTACCTGACAGGTGTTCAAGATACAGGTGCAGGTATCCACCACTAACAGTTGGTTCGTGTTCCGACGATTCTCCGACTTTGTACAACTCAACCAGAAGGTATGGATATGTGTATTTCAGTGATAGTAGTAAATGTGTATCAGAAGCATCATCTATGTATTATTACTGATATATAAAATATAACTTGTTAACTCACCTTTACAAAGGGTAAGTGAGTTTAGAGGATGGTGCGGTCAGCTATTGTCCAGCATCATCTTTTCTTTTAAAACACTGAAGTCTTGAACAGCTGAGTAAATAACAATTACTGGTAATATGTATTTCCCATTCTAGAGAGGTACTGTTGTTTATAGATAAAGTTAGATCTTTTAACATTGATATTCACTTTTTCCTGTATGTTTAGTTCAAATGACATTCCTTTCATTAAATGTATTAATCTTTTTGTATATTTTTGTTTTACAGCTGAAGAAATTATTCCCTGGGTTACGATTAGCTCTTCCACCCAAGCGGTGGTTCAAAGATAACTTTGACAGGAACTTTCTGGAAGATAGAATGCTGGGATTACAAGCGTTCGCCGACAACATAACTGGTCATCACGACATTAAAAAGAGGTAAGAGAACAGGTACTGCTCCAGTCTTTGTCCAAGTAGATGCAGGTATTGCTGTTTACAGGTTTTAATGTTTTATATATTTTCTTTTCTGATTATGTCTTTTTTTTTTTTTTGATAATTCCAGTCAGCCAGTGCGAGAGTTTTTTTGCCTAGATGAGCCTCCTGGACCTCACGACAGCTTGGAGGAGAGCAGGGTACGTGTTTGTATACAATAGAGATATACGTAGTTTGGAGGAGAGTAGGGTACGTGTTTGTATACAATAGAGATATACGTAGTTTGGAGGAGAGTAGGGTACGTGTTTGTATACAATAGAGATATACGTAGTTTGGAGGAGAGTAGGGTATGTGGGTGTATACAAGAGAGATATGCGTAGCGAAACATTCCAGGTTGGTCTCTTCAAGGCACATTATTCATGCTACATTTATTTATATGTACCTTGAGCTCTTATAGATTAGCAGAACAAATGAGAGAATAAAAAAATAATATAGTAATCATAGTTATCTCCCTTGCCAATAGACTGTCGACCTTCACCTTTAAGGGGTAACCTATTGACATCTTTATCCCCATATTTTCTTGTTACTGGAATATAATAATAATAATATAATAATTTGAGGTTCTTATATACCGCTTTATCACAACCTAGTTCGTAGGTCGTCTCAAAGCGGTTCACAAATTATTATCTGTGGTAATGGGGCCTTTGCAACCAGCCAATATCGTTTTCAACTCCCTGGGAAGCATACAGCCGGTGCTGCCATTTCGGCGCTTACAGCTAGCATTCTACAATTCTAGCACCGCCCAACCACATACTCATTTACAGCTGAGTAGACTGGAACAAGTGGACTAAAGTATCTTGCTCAAGGATACAACACAGTGCCATGCCGTGCCGTGCCGTGCCTCAAACCCGCAAACCCTTTGGTCACGAGTCTAGCGTTCTACCACTTGACTACCATGCCTCCTTAAATAGCTAGCTGTAATCTTCTTACTGAGTTACTGATGACCTTGGCCTTTAATGACTGTTGACCTTGACCTTTCAGGCTCATTCTGAGGAGCTGGAGGACACTGTGTACAGTCTAAAGAAAGAAATGGCTGATCGAGATTCTGAAATCTCCCTCCTCACTGATGAACTCAAGCTCTACAAAAAGCAGGTGGAGATGTTGACCAAGGCGCTCAGGTATCAATCACTGTTAATTATTTTGATGTTTGTGTAGACAGTTGAAGTCATCATTGAACATGTTCAGGTAGTAATACCTGTGTAACAGTAGTAATACCTGTGTAACAGTAGTAATACCTGTGTAACAGTACAGTAGTAATACCTGTGTAACAGTACAGTAGTAATACCTGTGTAACAGTTGTAATACCTGTGTATTAGTTGTACCTGTGTAACAGTAGTAATACCTGTGTAACAGTAGTAATACCTGTGTTACAGTAGTAATACCTGTGTAACAGTAGTAATACCTGTGTAACAGTACAGTAGTAATACCTGTGTAACAGTTGTAATACCTGTGTATAAGTTGTACCTGTGTAACAGTAGTAATACCTGTGTAACAGTAGTAATACCTGTGTAACAGTAGTAATACCTGTGTAACAGTAGTAATACCTGTGTAACAGTAGTAATACCTGTGTAACAGTAGTAATACCTGTGTAACAGTAGTAATACCTGTGTAACAGTAGTAATACCTGTGTAACAGTAGTAATACCTGTGTAACAGTAGTAATACCTGTGTAACAGTAGTAATACCTGTGTAACAGTAGTAATACCTGTGTAACAGTAGTAATACCTGTGTAACAGTAGTAATACCTGTGTAACAGTAGTAATACCTGTGTAACAGTAGTAATACCTGTGTAACAGTAGTAATACCTGTGTAACAGTAGTAATACCTGTGTAACAGTAGTAATACCTGTGTAACAGTAGTAATACCTGTGTAACAGTAGTAATACCTGTGTAACAGTAGTAATACCTGTGTAACAGTAGTAATACCTGTGTAACAGTAGTAATACCTGTGTAACAGTAGTAATACCTGTGTAACAGTAGTAATACCTGTGTAACAGTAGTAATACCTGTGTAACAGTAGTAATACCTGTGTAACAGTAGTAATACCTGTGTAACAGTAGTAATACCTGTGTAACAGTAGTAATACCTGTGTAACAGTAGTAATACCTGTGTAACAGTAGTAATACCTGTGTAACAGTAGTAATACCTGTGTAACAGTAGTAATACCTGTGTAACAGTAGTAATACCTGTGTAACAGTAGTAATACCTGTGTAACAGTAGTAATACCTGTGTAACAGTAGTAATACCTGTGTAACAGTAGTAATACCTGTGTAACAGTAGTAATACCTGTGTAACAGTAGTAATACCTGTGTAACAGTAGTAATACCTGTGTAACAGTAGTAATACCTGTGTAACAGTAGTAATACCTGTGTAACAGTAGTAATACCTGTGTAACAGTAGTAATACCTGTGTAACAGTAGTAATACCTGTGTAACAGTAGTAATACCTGTGTAACAGTAGTAATACCTGTGTAACAGTAGTAATACCTGTGTAACAGTAGTAATACCTGTGTAACAGTAGTAATACCTGTGTAACAGTAGTAATACCTGTGTAACAGTAGTAATACCTGTGTAACAGTAGTAATACCTGTGTAACAGTAGTAATACCTGTGTAACAGTAGTAATACCTGTGTAACAGTAGTAATACCTGTGTAACAGTAGTAATACCTGTGTAACAGTAGTAATACCTGTGTAACAGTAGTAATACCTGTGTAACAGTAGTAATACCTGTGTAACAGTAGTAATACCTGTGTAACAGTAGTAATACCTGTGTAACAGTAGTAATACCTGTGTAACAGTAGTAATACCTGTGTAACAGTAGTAATACCTGTGTAACAGTAGTAATACCTGTGTAACAGTAGTAATACCTGTGTAACAGTAGTAATACCTGTGTAACAGTAGTAATACCTGTGTAACAGTAGTAATACCTGTGTAACAGTAGTAATACCTGTGTAACAGTAGTAATACCTGTGTAACAGTAGTAATACCTGTGTAACAGTAGTAATACCTGTGTAACAGTAGTAATACCTGTGTAACAGTAGTAATACCTGTGTAACAGTAGTAATACCTGTGTAACAGTAGTAATACCTGTGTAACAGTAGTAATACCTGTGTAACAGTAGTAATACCTGTGTAACAGTAGTAATACCTGTGTAACAGTAGTAATACCTGTGTAACGGTAGTAATATCTGTGTAACATACCTGTGTAACAGTGAACAACCAATTAGTTATTTGTTACTGACTGAGCTATAGACAGTACTTTAAGCTGAATCAATGTTGACCCATTGCTAAAAATGTTCACTAGCTATAAGATTAACACTACATTGATGATATAAATTCGAAAGCAACCCTGGAGATTTGTGAACTAGAACTTAACTTCTGGTTGATTGTCATGTCGTGGCCTCATTGTTTACAGAGACAAGAATGCAAGTCAACAAAGTCTCAACTCTGCTGGCTCTGGTGACCGAAGTTCCTCTGGTGGGTCAGAGGCTGATATTTCAGAGGTCAGAGGTCAGAGATATGTAAGCAGGTAATTATAAGTACATGGAGTGCTGTAATTTGTACTCATTAAAACCTCTTTATCTGTAAGCTTAAGTCTTTTGTAGATAATTGTCTTGTACAAATCATTTTCTAATGGTAAGGATATCGCTATTATGCTTCCTTGTACATTCTACCTGTAATTTGTGTAACAGTTATCTCCATTAAGGATTCACGCTACCGTAACACGTACCTGTTGTTTGTGTTATAGTCAACTCCCTTCACAATATATATTACAGTAACACATACCCGTAATTGGTTTTAGAGTTATCTCCCTTAAGGATACATGCTACCTTACACATTATACCTGTGGTTTGTGTTTAAGTTATCACCCTTAGGGATATCCAGTACCTTGCACATTATATACCTGTAATTGGTGTTAGAGTTATCACCCATACCAGTAACCTGTGTTACAGTTTTCCCTTAAGGATATACATTTTACATTACCTTACTCATTGAACATATAATTTATATTGAGAGTTCTCTTCCTTCACAATATTCAAATTAGTTTAAACTAGAAAATGAGATTTACCTTATCATCAACGTTCGTATTTAGTATGTATGACCTTAGGTGTTACAAGGACACCAAACCCTAAATAGACAAATCTTGTACACATTGAAAATGTATCATTTATAAATTAAGCATGTCCATAAAAATACTACTCACATTCAAAAGTCCCAAAAATTCACTCTTTACATGTTTCAGAACAGAGATTTATGTCAGTGTGGTATATATAGCATATACATGTACCCTTAAGTCTACAATTTGTGTAATCACACATATCATCTAAATTACATTTCTTCACCAGAAACACCACAAGGAATGGGTCAATATCAAGCCTGAAACTGACCAAGTCCCAGAGTGACTCGGTCACCATGGAAACGTGACTGTCGGCAAACATGTGATCTCAGCAGTTACTACATGGCTACTGTCTTTCATGAAGTCCCTCGCAGAGTTATCTCTGTAAGCTGTAGCCCTGAGGGGTGGGGTGTGTAATGTGTGTGTGTGTGTGTGTGGTGTATCCGATTTATTGGTCAGTGATTGGCTCCAAGATTAAAGAAAATGATTGTTTCTCTTTATGCAAATTATATCAAATAGGCGCTTTTGTTTCTTTGAAAAGGTAGATTTTTTAATTTCTAATTTTAAAAGGTAAGTTTAATTAGCTACGAATAACAGAAATCAATATACAAATTTTAGGAAATATGTTTCAATTTTCTTTCTTTTTGCATTGGAGCCTGATTAACACAACACTGTCAGCCTCAGTATCTATTGTAAACTGATCAGTGTTGGGTTAATCTAGTTCTATAGAACCAATCAGTCTGGTACTCATCACCAGTGTGAGACGGAGTGTGAGGTGTGATGGGACCAGAAAGCCTGTAGATGATTGGTGCTTTATTGTCACATGGTACAGTGTGTTCTAAGTCTGGGCAGAGTAAGGTGCAAACAAAACAAGCTGTTCAGTTGAAAATTTCGAAATAGTGTCACCAAACAGGTAAGTACCCAAGTTAAGTAAAATCAACTAGCTTAAGTCATATTGCATATTGTCCAGGCCCCAGGATTATGAAACAGACTTAAGTCTAAGACAAACTCTGAACTTAAGTCCAGAAGTCTGTTTCCTGATCCCAAGGCCAGAAATACAACGCTGCTACACTTAATAGATCACTGGCTACACATTGCTACCATGTGACAATATTTTACAGGCATTCTGTTTCTATGACAACTAGGGACCAGATTTTATTTACAAATTGCGGTGCTGTTGTATTAGAACTTGTGACACATGTGATGTGATTTTATATGTTGTTGTGCCTATCACCACGGTGACAGGCTTTTGTAGATTACAGCTCAATATCAGTGTTGGTGCCGGTCCTGTTAAATCTCTATATGCTAACCTCTCTAGTAGATAGTGCTTTCTTGCATTTGCTAAGTATTGCTGTCTCCAAATATGGTACGAAGATACTATCTCTGGAAAAATTTAAACGAACGATGAAAGTATATATAAATGTTGGGTCTAAAAAGATATACATGTCGGAATAATACCAACACCAATCTGCTGTATGACGTTATACTCAACAGACGGTCAGCTGACTTAATGATGTCTGTAGGCTTCAGTACAGATATAAACCTCCTACACACTTACTGTTTTAACGCCTTTAGGACGAGAATGAATTCCTTTATTGATGATTATATCCAGTTTTTAAATGATGTATATTTTAGAGATTACAACAATGTTGAAGTTTATGTAAAAAAGGTGTTTATTTATTGACACCTATTTAGAACTGTGTTATCTTTGTATTGTTGATGCAAGTCTTTCATCACAGGATTGTCTTACATTAAACTCAGAGTCTACAAAAAATAGAGCAAGATTGATTTCTAATGTTCAAAGGTTGAGACATTTTTTATGTTTAATTGGTTGTGTGTTATGAGAAAATTATCAAACTTTATCTTACATTATTTATAGGTGTAAAGTACTGTATTGTTCGTCATAGTCACCACTTTATTTTAACCCTGGAGTGAAGTAATGTGTTCATGATGTGATTAGTCAGATATTTTTTATTTTTTTGGCTTGGTTTAGTGATTTCTTAGACTCAAAACTGTTTTGTGGAGATTTTTATGTTGTTAATTTATTAATTTAAAAACCAAGGTCATTTCAGTGCAATTGCAGTATGTTTTTGTTTTAAAATCACTCATGTGCAATTGTATTATTTTAGTGTTTAAAGTGTGGAAACACAGGTGTTATTATCAGAACTCCAAATGGTTGTGGTTTGGTTCTAATTCTTGCTCTTTTTTAAGTCAATTTCGCCTGTAAGAAATAGATCCACTCATTCATGGTATATATATATTAAAATGCTTTTGGCATTTTCATATAACATGCATGGACACAAAGATTTACAATAGAAATGTTCCCTACAATTAATACAGTAACATTTTTTGATATTTATGCTTTAAAATGTAATATATTGACAGTAAGGTATATACAATGGGAAACCATTTAAGTTTTCTTTTCTTGGAAGTCTTCTGTATAAACACGGAGAATACTTTTTGTTAGTAAATCTTTAGAGGATGTTTCTGATTGAAACCTGTGTTTATATTGGTGCTTGTTATACTCTTGCCTGGCTATTTTACAAGGTCAAATGATAACCTTGACCTACACCCAATTGTAAGACTTCATGCTTTCCATTTCATGTCCCTATAAATATACCAATTATTTTGCACCCCACAACCAATTTAGGAGTAGCTATACTGGAATCAGGGTGTCTGTGTATCCATCTATGTTAGTCCTGACTTTGTCTCCTAATGCACTATCGGTAAAATTCTATTACCCGGTAGTTATCAGTATGTAGTTGTGTAGTCACTAGTGTTTAAATTAATTTTATTTTAACTATTTGCAGAGTTAATCCCCTTTATTGTAAAAAGAAATTTGTATAGTAAACGTACTTGATAATTTCAACGAAACTTAGTACACTTAATCATTATGCAAAGCAGTTAACTTCATTGTGAATGATATAAATGTATTACCACCACATGTTAACCTGATAAAGGTGCAGAGGCATTAAGCAGCCAGTCTTGTTGTCTTACATGTCTAGCTTGAATTTTTAATGTTATAGTTCCCTTTTTTCTGTCTTTTTAAAGTTAAGAAATAAATCTGACGCCATGTTCTGTTGAAGCGACCTGTGTAGTGACCCTGCCATACCTATATTTTTTAGCCAGCTTACATTATTGGCAGCTGACGGCAAGAAAGTTTAGATTTCTATTTCTAGGAGTGTGTACTGTAAATTTGTATAGCTTATTAAATCAGCCTTATGTTTTTGGGCTTTGATGGTCAATAGACCATACTTATTACTCACTTTTAAAAGGTTTTTAACATTTATATTTTTCTATGCATAACTATGAAATGTGATAAAGATGAGATTGTGTAGGATTACAGTTGGCACTGATTAACACATTCACCCCTGAAGTTTCATAATGAACTATTCCAACCTTTGAATTGGAAGGGTTCAAATGTGTCTTCAGGGGTCAATGAGGTAAAGTCGGCTTACATAAGAATTTAGATAACAAGGGTTGGACACGCAGGGGAGTTAATGTCAGGAAATGTCTGCATGCATAAACAGTTATTAAACATTTCTGAACTCCTCTAAAAGTAGTCAAACTTTAAATTAAATTGAAGAATTGAAGATTTTGTCCATCTCCTTAAATATCTTTAACAGGACAGTTGGTACCCTAGAGGTCACACCATTGTGGTTGTGACGTGATCCACAGCCTTGCTACTGTCTACTATATAGCTACCAACATGGTAACTCTGTACTTTGTGGTGGTTGTTGGATTGCTTAATACTTCAGTGTACAGATTTTGTACAATATCTGACAGGTAGACTGAATTTATTGGTGAATTTTCTATCGCATTCTTACTTTTTTCAGTATTCTGTTCAATGGTGGAGTGAACTCAAATTATTTGGTTATTATTAAATCACTTTTTAACTGCTTCATGTTGCCCCAGCTTTAATTGTTTAGGTGTAAAACATTTGTATGTCTCGCTGTCCATTCAAACAACGAATTGTAGAGAAATGTTTCTGTCGAGTTTAAGTAGCCAGCCTTTCCCTGTGATAGTTTGCCTTATCCGTCTGCAGATATTTTCCACATCCAGATTCTGTACTGGCGATACAATGTATTAGTGCACGGTGGTTGTAATTATATCCTCACTATATCTTTGTGATATTATTGTACACCATGTTAGTGGTATGTGTGATATTGGTATACATGTATTACTGTTTAACACCTTCGTCTGTGGTGGGCTAGTCACTGGTGGCGGTCACTGCAGTATAAATCTACTATAACACTGTTGTCAAAATATTCCAATGAAACTGTTTGTCTTGCCTAGCTTTATTATAGGAAATATGTTCGCAATTAGTCCTGGTAATGTAATAACTCCAAGTGGTTTATTTTTTTCCATTTTTTTCCCCCCCAAGATTCTCAAGATCATTACAGAATTTCCTACAGCCTATGCTTACTTGTCTGTTTTTCTGCGAGGCTGTACGGGTTAAACAACAGTTTTCATTGGATTGGGTCCTGATTAGTTATATTTAGTAATACATAAGATTTCTGTTAATATCAGTATATCATGACATAAGAGGAATACAATGTATTGAGATCAATTCTGTCAATGCTGTCCTCGACCACCAACTAAAATACTGTTTAATTATTAATTAAATTGGTTTAATTATTAATTAAATTGGTCTAATCATCCAAACATTAGAGATCAACAATCCAGTTGATATTTACACACTATTCGACCTGAATCTGTATTTTGTCAGATAAAAACATCTCACAAAAGATATCTTATTATTTATAGAAGATATAATGTATACAACAATCTACATTTGGAAGGAAAGAAAACAGATGGTCTGGTAAGGATTTGTAGGAGATAAAATGTTGAAGTAGACTTGACTACAGGCCTCCAGTGCCTGTGTACCGACACACTATACAATGTGAAGTCCACCGCCATAAAGTCTGTTGTCTATTGTTGAATAAACAGATTTTCAAGCCATTTAGGTCTTGTGAATTTTCATTTAACTTAAAGCATTTGAGCTCATATATGTTATTAACAAAGTATGAAAGTGATGCTGCAAGTGGTATTCCATCAGAGTTCAACAATAAATACAGATTTGAGTGTTTGAACATTTTATTTAGTGTACATGTTATTGCACAGTCGTAACTTTTGAGCTGAGATTCTCTGGAAAATGGTGATTACAGTGACAGATGGTCTCCATGGTGACAAAAGGTACATGTACCTATAGAGTTTGTACAAATGTGAATTGATGACATCACCAGTACACCGACTACTGAAGGACAGGTGTCTGCTTCCCTCGACCTCAAATGAGCGCTGAGTAATTAAAATACTCGGGGTATAATTGACAGAATATATACATTATGCTACTTTTGGCATTGTTGGATACTCTCACTCAATTTCTCTGTATCCCTGCTGTACACCCTTCAATGTGTAAATATGTTGACATGTTTTTCAAATATAATCAGTTGTGGTGACAGTAGATAAGTGTCAACATGTTTACATCTACCGAACAACCATTTTCGCTAGCCAAGTGTTTGCTTCGTATACACTCCACTTACGAAGCGAACAATTGGCTAGTGAAGATACCCAACAACAGGATGAGGTCAGATTAGCATTAACTTATTAACATCTACCAAACAACAGGGTGAGGCTAGATTAGCATTAACTTATTAACATCTACCAAACAACAGGGTAGGCCATTAGCATTAACTTATTAACATCTACCAAACAACAGGGTGAGGTCAGAGTAGCATTAACTAATTAACATCTACCAAACAACAGGGTGAGGCCATATTAGCATTAACTTATTATTAACATCTACCAAACAACAGGGTGAGGCCAGATTAGCATTAACTTATTATTAAAATCTACCAAACAACAGGGTGAGGCCAGATTAGCATTAACTTATTATTACCATCTACCAAACAACAGGGTGAGGCCAGATTAGCATTAATTTATTATTAACATCTAGCAAACAACAGGGTGAGGCCAGATTAGCATTAATTTATTATTAACATCTAGCAAACAACAGGGTGAGGCCAGATTAGCATTAACTTATTATTACCATCTACCAAACAACAGGGTGAGGCCAGATTAGCATTAATTTATTATTAACATCTAGCAAACAACAGGGTGAGGCCAGATTAGCATTAACTTATTATTAAAATCTACCAAACAACAGGGTGAGGCCAGATTAGCATTAATTTATTATTAACATCTAGCAAACAACAGGGTGAGGCCAGATTAGCATTATCTTATTATTAACATCTACCAAACAACAGGGTGAGGCTAGATTAGCATTAACTTATTAACATCTCCCAAACAACAGGGTGAGGTCAGATTAGCATTTACTTATTATTAACATCTACCAAACAACAGGGCGAGGTCAGATTAGCATTAACTTATTAACATCTCCCAAACAACAGGGTGAGGTCAGAGTAGCATTAACTTATTAACATCAGCAATGTTCACGCCCAAATTACAGCAGACATAAGATGAACAATGCCAATGAAATGAAAATAAATCTATATACCCCGGTAGTATAAAAATTTGGATAAAAGTTTACCGTTTTGAGCGGAGTTAACCTCCTGATAAAATATATTCCTGTTTGGGAAAGCCACTCAGGCATGTTACCAATCCGTTGGTAGAGACCACTCATTAATGGTGACCACTGTTGCAATCTAAAGGTTTCCTAAAATACTAGTCTATTTTAAATATGATAGTTCATACTGCTGTATAGAATTGAAGGAATATCTACACTGTAACTTGTAAATTATGTATATATGTACATATTGGAACAAAGATTTACCCTAAAACCACAACCTTTGTAATAACAATGTGTTCTGTACATCAACAATCTAGTCCGTCTCCTCACACCGTCCCGGTCCTGACATGTCTGCGGTATATATATATATCTGGCAGGATTACCGGTTGCTAGGGACTCAACTACATACATGTGTTATGCTTTATTTTCTACATTCCAAGCAATATTATCTAAAAAAACAGCCGGTCACACTATAAAAAGTAACTTTAGGAATCAGGAAAAGTTATATTGATGATATTAAATTGTTTCAGCAGGAATAACACATCTTCTGCTGTTGAGTGATTTGGAGGCTTGCCTCACTGATTCTACTTCAAGGGTCAAAGCCCGCCACATCGCTGGCTATGGTTTCAGGAGAGACATTTATATAGTCAGATCTTTTTACCTTAGATTAAATTTCCTAAAGTTAACAGATGTTTGGAAAAATGGGGCCTGTAACTGTTAATGCAGTATGTACATGTAAAACTAAAATATTATATAATTTTTATTTACAAAACAAACAACAGATAAATTGAACAAAGAAAAAATACATAACAGCGACTCAAATGATCCGTGTTATTTCACATATTGCATAGACTTTCTTATTCCTGAAAGTCCAAGGGAGACATAACTGACAGACTTGTTTGCTCCCTTGTGTAATATTTTTGGATTCTGTGGATAACTATTGATGTAATAACAAAGAACAGGAACATCAATAATCCTCAGACAATCACACACTAGTAAACAAGGGACTACACACATAACTATTCCCGGGACTACACACATAACTATCCCCGGGACTACACACATAACTATCCCCGGGACTACACAAATAACTATCCCGGGACTACACACATAACTATCCCCGGGACTACACACATAACTATCCCCGGGACTACACAAATAACTATCCCGGGACTACACACATAACTATCCCCGGGACTACACACATAACTATCCCCGGGACTACACAAATAACTATCCCGGGACTACACACATAACTATCCCCGGGACTACACACATAACTATCCCCGGGACTACACAAATAACTATCCCGGGACTACACACATAACTATCCCCGGGACTACACACATAACTATCCCCGGGACTACACAAATAACTATCCCGGGACTACACACATAACTATCCCCGGGACTACACACATAACTATCCCCGGGACTACACACATAACTATCCCCGGGACTACACAAATAACTATCCCGGGACTACACAAATAACTATCCCCGGGACTACACACATAACTATCCCGGGACTACACACATAACTATCCCCGGGAATACCAAACCTCTTCAACATCAATATCCCAGGGAATACCAAACCTCTTTAACATCAATATCCCAGGGGATATCAAACCTCTTCAACATCAATATCCAAGGGAATATCAAATAGGACATACGAAACATAAATGTCTTGTTGACATGAAACTTCAATATCATGTGTGCTACTGAGATTTATGCATCTGTAGTAATATATCAGGTTGATGTCACAGCCAAAGGAACTTACAGATTCCTCACAATGATATACTTACAACCAACTCAATATAAACAGATATTCTCCACAATAAAATACAATAAAGGAACATAAACAGATTCCTGGCAACGAAATACACACAACCAAAGAACAGTAAACAGATTCCTCACATAATGAAATACACACAACCAAAGAATCGCAAAGAGTTTTCTCACATAATGATATACACACAACCAAAGAATCGAAAACAGTTTTCTCACATAATGAAAGACACACAACCAAAGAATAGCAAACAGTTTTCTCCCATAATGAAATACACACAAACAAAGAATCGCAAACAGTTTTCACACATAATGAAATACTTGTAATCAAAGAAATGTTAACAGATTCCTCACATAATAAAATACACACAACCAAAGAATCGCAAACAGTTTTCTCACATAATGAAATACTCTTTACCAAAGAACAGTAAACAGATTCCTCACATAATGAAATACACACAACCAAAGAATCGCAAACAGTTTTCTCACATAATGAAATACTTGTAATCAAAGAAATGTTAACAGATTCCTCACAGAGAAATACATAAAATCAATGGAATGTTTCCATGGTAATAATGTAAACATAAATGACTGATCCATTTTGATAAGTTCCTTGTATACTAAATATATTCTACAGAGTAGAACAGGAAATGTCCAGCAGAACAGTCAGGTGTGGGGATGTTGTCGGAGAAAGAATATTGGATCATTTTAAATCTACAAGCCAATAAAATGTGTCAGATTTCAATGGAGTGGGTATTATCACGGACTTAGATAATCTAATTCCGTGGTATTATTATGTATACATTCTCTATAAAGTTATAGGGCAGAGCTTTGGTCTCATAAATAAAATTCTATCTAAAACAGAATAAATCAAAATAAGTTCTATCTTAATAACATATATACCAGAACAAACATATTTTTTACGACACTAGTACATCACACATATAATAATAAAAAAAAAAAATCAGAATTCAGAACACATTTCAATAAAAAAATATACAAAGCATACAAAACTTTAACTAGAACAGTAAGCCATATGGTAACTAATACCACCCATTCTGGTATGAAAATGGTCAGAATGGAAAATGTAATGTGGTGGGGCACATCTGTCAAAATAGTGTCGAGTAATAACATCAACAACAAGCGAGGGACCATTTCCTACCGATATAAGTAAAGCTCAAAATGTTAGGACTACAGAACATGTTGACTTTGCTCAGTATTAAACACTGACTCTTGAGATTTCTTTAAATCAGAGATTTCACATGTTAACATCGTATTTCAGGAGAATTATGTAGTTTCTGCAAATGTGTCAGTAACAGAGTCTACCTGTGGAGAAAACTGAAATGACTAGAGAGTGCAACCAGCAATCTCCGCCACCACTTGGGTCTGACAGCGCTCTCCACCACCACTTGGGTCTGACAGTGCTCTCCACCACCACTTGGATCTGACAGTGCTCTCTGCCACCACTTGGGTCTGCCAGTGATCTCCACCACCACTTGGGTCTGACAGTGATCTCTGCCACCACTTGGGTCTGACAGTGATCTCCTCCACCACTTGGGTCTGACAGTGCTCTCCACCCCCACTTGGGTCTGACAGTGCTCTCCACCACCACTTGGATCTGACAGTGCTCTCTGCCACCACTTGGGTCTGCCAGTGATCTCCACCACCACTTGGGTCTGACAGTGCTCTCCACAACCACTTGGGTCTGACAGTGCTCTCCACCACCACTTGGATCTGACAGTGCTCTCTGCCACCACTTGGGTCTGACAGTGCTCCCCACCACCACTTGGGTCTGACAGTGCTCTCTGCCACCACTTGGGTCTGCCAGTGATCTCCACCACCACTTGGGTCTGACAGTGATCTCTGCCACCTCTTGGGTCTGACAGTGATCTCCACCACCACTTGCGTCTGACAGTGCTCTCCACCACCACTTGGGTCTGACAGTGGTCTCCACCACCACTTGGGTCTGACAGTGCTCTCCACAACCACTTGGGTCTGACAGTGCTCTCCACCACCACTTGGGTCTGACAGTGATCTCCGCCACCACTTGGGTCTGACAGTGCTCTCCACCACCACTTGGGGCTGACAGTAATCTCCACCACCACTTGGGTCTGACAGTGCTCTCCCCCACCACTTGGGTCTGACAGTGATCTCTGCCACCTCTTGGGTCTGACAGTGATCTCCACCACCACTTGGGTCTGACAGTGGTCTCCACCACCACTTGGGTCTGACAGTGCTCTCCACCACCCCTTGGGTCTGACAGTGATCTCCACCACCACTTGCGTCTGACAGTGCTCTCCACCACCACTTGGGTCTGACAGTGATCTCCGCCACCACTTGGGTCTGACAGTGCTCTCTAGAGAGTGCAACCAGCAATCTCCGCCACCACTTGGGTCTGACAGCGCTCTCCACCACCACTTGGGTCTGACAGTGCTCTCCACGACCACTTGGGTCTGACAGTGATCTCCACCACCACTTGGGTCGGACAGTGATCTCTGCCACCACTTGGGTCTGACAGTGATCTCCTCCACCACTTGGGTCTGACAGTGCTCTCCACCCCCACTTGGGTCTGACAGTGCTCTCCACCACCACTTGGATCTGACAGTGCTCTCTGCCACCACTTGGGTCTGCCAGTGATCTCCACCACCACTTGGGTCTGACAGTGCTCTCCGCCACCACTTGGGTCTGACAGTGCTCTCCGCCACCACTTGGGTCTGACAGTGCTCCCCACCACCACTTGGGTCTGACAGTGATCTCCACCACCACTTGCGTCTGACAGTGCTCTCCACCACCACTTGGGTCTGACAGTGATCTCCGCCACCACTTGGGTCTGACAGTGCTCTCCGCCACCACTTGGGTCTGACAGTGCTCTTATTGCCTGATTGTATTAGGGAATGTTTAGGACAAGGACATACAAACAATGAATACAGCTGATTAGAATACGAGACTCAGTTACCCCTGAGGTCCAAAGTGTATCTGAACACACTGCCATTTCTTGCATTGGAAGAACTTAAAGTAAGTAACATGTAGGTTTACTAACGGATTTCATGATGTAAGCATTGTTTTAGAACAATAAAATTTAAACTTTTGATATGTCTTATTAAAATTCATGTCCACTGTACATCAGATAATGGATTTCACGATATGAGTGTGGTTTTTAGAACAATGAAATTAAAAACTTCTTAAATACACCTTACTGGAATTCATGTCCACTGTAAATTAAATAACTCTGTGTCCACCGACGATGTACCTCACACCTCTATATCCACAGGGTTGTCCTGTATTGTCTGTTCGCTACCAGAGAGTAGAGGATCATCACAACTCGGTGTAGAGGATTGACTCTCACTCACACTGTAATCAGCTCCTGACTGAATACATATCTCAGAGTCCGAGTCACCAGCATCGTTTTCTGACCTGCCATGACCTTTGTTTTTAGCCTGTTTTGAACTCTCCACCATTTTAGATGTCATGTTTTCCATCAGAGAACTCAGATGATTAGCAGTTTCCTCGTCTACTTCTATAGGTCGACTTGTTTTATTATCAGGTAAGGCCAAACTATCATTTTCATCTTCTAAATCTTCACTGAAAACCTCAACACCTGGAAGTATAGATTACAGGTAAATACAGGTATACCTTAACACCTAAAAGTATGGATTACAGGTAAATAGAGGTATACCTCAACACCTGAAAGTATAGATTACAGGAATGTACAGGTATACCTCAACACCTGAACGTATGGATTAAGGGTATATGCAGGTATACCTCAACACCTGAAAGTATAGATTACAGGTATGTACAGGTATACCTCAACACCTAAAAGTATAGATTACAGGTATGTACAGGTATACCTTAACACCTAAAAGTATGGATTAAGGGTATATACAGGTATACCTCAACACCCGAAAGTATAGATTACAGGAATTTACAGGTATACCTCAACACCTGAAAGTATGAATTAAGGGTATATGCAGGTATACCTCAACACCTGAAAGTATAGGTTACAGGTATGTACAGGTATACCTCAACACCTAAAAGTATGGATTAAGGGTAAATACAGGTATACCTCAACACCTGAAAGTATAGATTACAGGTATGTAGAGGTAAACCTCAACACCTGAAAGTATGGATTACAGGAAAATACAGGTAAATATATAAAAAAAAAAATGTTCAGGGTTAGACATCCTGGTAATAGCTGTTAAGGTCATATTAGCTGAGTGTCCAGTACGACACCAACAAAAAAGAAGAGTAGACTGGAAAAACAATTTTTTGGGTTTGAAATGGGGCAGGTCAATTTTATTTTTTTTCAGTGTTCTGAGAAGTTTTTCCTTTAAAGCATCCCTGAAACTTTAAATTTACCATGTATTGATATTGAACGAATCAAATAGGGGACAGAAATACTGACCGCATGTGTCCTTCACAGGGTGGATATCTTCCTCATCATTAACACATTTGACCAGCTCTTCCTTGATGGGCAGGAGGTCAAGGTCCTCCATGGCATATGTATAGTCAGCGTCGGACATGGTGCTCCTGTGGGGGTCGGGAAGGGGTATTGTCTGACTGTGATGGTCCTGGATCTCTGCTCGGTGTACAGTCCTGGGGGTGATGCCAGCCCTGTGAGTTGGGGACATGTCAAGGGTGTTTAGGTAGCTCATAGCATTGTCGTTCTCCAGAGTTGGGTTACTACTGGCACTGTGTGTGGGACTGGTGTCGGCACTACTAGTAGGGGTACAGAACTCGGCCTCCAGATCAGCTAGCTCCTGTTTACTGGTTTTTAGGTCAGCAAGCTCCTGTTTTGTGGCCTCCAGATCAAGTGCAATGTCACCATCAGGGATTTCCTCACTGCACTGTGGCACCAGGGTCTTCACCTCTTCACATTCAGCCTTTAGGCGCTCCAGGCTTGGCATGTTGGCTGGGGAGTCAAACAGAACAACCATACAAAGGTAACAAGACAGGCATAGTGTTTCCAAGTAATATGGCACTAATCTTATAATACTTTAGATAATGTTTTTTATGCATTTGGCCCCATTGACCTTAAGTATTTCAAGGTCAAATAAAAATGTTGCTTTTATTTTAGACGTATTTGACCTCTGTGAATTTAAATATAGGCCCAGGTATTTTTTATGAGAAAGCATGCTGGTAAAACATTAGGTCCCTTAGCTTTATGAGACTTAAGAAGAAATTCTTTAAATGTTTGACCCATTATAGCCCATGTTAACATTTGACCCCAGCCAGTGCACAAAGTTGACCTTTAACCTAAACACAATAATATAATCAAAGTATAATTGTATTTTTGGTGAGCTAATACAAACTGTATTACTGGGGATAACATACCTGTAACATTCCACAGCCCTGCTACCTCAAGGGTCTTTATTTTCTTTTCCAACTCTGATACTCTGTTTCCTAATATTCTGTAAATGATGAGGGGACAATGTTTATGATGCAGAAAATTTGCAAATTAATGCTAAAAGTGGTTCTTTTACTTCTGTAACGTAGGGTTCTAAATGGCAACACTCCACGGCATTGCAATTCAAGGATATGTTTATTCTGTGGACAAATAAACCTATATAATGAATAAACATACGTAATCACTCATACATCCCTCAACCTATGTAATACTGGATATATATACAATTGATGAAATAAGACGAATGATTATTATGTTTTAATAATACTCTTTCATACTTACACACATAAATACTTAGCAGGAACATCCAGAGTAAGGACAATGTGACTGGATTATGCTCTCGATGGTTCCGTCTTTGATAATTGTGGGAACTTATATAGACCTCATTTACAAAATAAGGGCAAAAGAAGGGACTTACTTGTTGGTCTTGCGTTGGTGGGACAGTGCCATATTCTTGTCATTGACTGTGTCCAGCAATGCCCCCGCTAGTGCTTGTAGGTCAGCCATGGCCTGAGCTGTGGGGGGTACACCCATATTGTCTCCTAGTACCTGACTCACTGTAGGGGATACATACAGACAGTTATACATGGTCAGGTGGTACACCCATATTGTCTCCTAGTACCTGACTCACTATAGGGGATACATACAGACAGTTATACATGGTCAGGGGGTACACCCATATTGTCTCCTAGTACCTGGCTCACTGTAGGGGATACATACAGACAGTTATACAAGGTCAGGGGGTACACCCATATTGTCTCCTAGTACCTGGCTCACTGTAGGGGATACATACAGACAGTTATACAAGGTCAGGGGGTACACCCATATTGTCTCCTAGTACCTGGCTCACTGTAGGGGATACATACAGACAGTTATACAAGGTCAGGGGGTACACCCATATTGTCTCCTAGTACCTGGCTCACTGTAGGGGATACATACAGACAGTTATACAAGGTCAGGGGGTACACCCATATTGTCTCCTAGTACCTGGCTCACTGTAGGGGATACATACAGACAGTTATACAAGGTCAGGGGGTACACCCATATTGTCTCCTAGTACCTGGCTCACTGTAGGGGATACATACAGACAGTTATACAAGGTCAGGGGGTACACCCATATTGTCTCCTAGTACCTGGCTCACTGTAGGGGATACATACAGACAGTTATACAAGGTCAGGGGGTACACCCATATTGTCTCCTAGTACCTGGCTCACTGTAGGGGATACATACAGACAGTTATACAAGGTCAGGGGGTACACCCATATTGTCTCCTAGTACCTGGCTCACTGTAGGGGATACATACAGACAGTTATACAAGGTCAGGGGGTACACCCATATTGTCTCCTAGTACCTGGCTCACTGTAGGGGATACATACAGACAGTTATACAAGGTCAGGGGGTACACCCATATTGTCTCCTAGTACCTGGCTCACTGTAGGGGATACATACAGACAGTTATACAAGGTCAGGGGGTACACCCATATTGTCTCCTAGTACCTGGCTCACTGTAGGGGATACATACAGACAGTTATACAAGGTCAGGGGGTACACCCATATTGTCTCCTAGTACCTGGCTCACTGTAGGGGATACATACAGACAGTTATACAAGGTCAGGGGGTACACCCATATTGTCTCCTAGTACCTGGCTCACTGTAGGGGATACATACAGACAGTTATACAAGGTCAGGGGGTACACCCATATTGTCTCCTAGTACCTGGCTCACTGTAGGGGATACATACAGACAGTTATACAAGGTCAGGGGGTACACCCATATTGTCTCCTAGTACCTGGCTCACTGTAGGGGATACATACAGACAGTTATACAAGGTCAGGGGGTACACCCATATTGTCTCCTAGTACCTGGCTCACTGTAGGGGATACATACAGACAGTTATACAAGGTCAGGGGGTACACCCATATTGTCTCCTAGTACCTGGCTCACTGTAGGGGATACATACAGACAGTTATACAAGGTCAGGGGGTACACCCATATTGTCTCCTAGTACCTGGCTCACTGTAGGGGATACATACAGACAGTTATACAAGGTCAGGGGGTACACCCATATTGTCTCCTAGTACCTGGCTCACTGTAGGGGATACATACAGACAGTTATACAAGGTCAGGGGGTACACCCATATTGTCTCCTAGTACCTGGCTCACTGTAGGGGATACATACAGACAGTTATACAAGGTCAGGTGGTACACCCATATTGTCTCCTAGTACCTGACTCACTGTAGGGGATACATACAGACAGTTATACAAGGTCGGGTGGTACACCCATATTGTCTCCTAGTACCTGGCTCACTCTTACTGATACACAGACATTTCCTGGGCTGTTGCGGGAACACTTATATATCCAAATATTTGGATTATTTTCAAGGATGCATACAGGCAGTTAAACAAGGTAAGAACAGGGACTATCTGTTCGCTAAACTTGTCATACTGGAGAAGCAGGATACATACTTGTACAAGATATAGCAAATAGAATTGTCCATTATCACAGTGAATCTGTTTCTGTGAGATTAAAAGGAATTTTGATCTTGTTGCTATGGGGCGACCAGAAATATATCGACCTAGATTTATGAAACAATCAGAAATTATGACCTGTTTTTTTTAAGACCATCATTACTTCTAACCTAGTTTCTGTGATATAATAAGAACCACTGACCTTGTTTCGGTGATATAATAAGAACCACTGACCTTGTTTATGGGAGATGACCAGTCCACCTCCACGACTTTGGCTAAGCTTCATCATTCCTGTCCTGGCTTTCTTCCTCTCAAGTAAACTCTGAAATTATATTTACAATGTCTTGTTATCAAATAAAATCCAATGCAACTTTATAAACATTACAAGTATAGGTGTACAGTCATACATACAGATGTACAAGTATAGGTGTACAGTCATACATACAGATGTACAAGTATAGGTGTACAGTCATACATACAGATGTACAAGTATAGGTGTACGGACATACATGCAGATGTACAAGTATAGGTGTACAGTCATACATACAGTATACAAGAGCATACAAGTTAATAGTGTAATAATTTAACAACAAACATGAAGTTAATATCATCGATTCAGTCCTAAGGAAACAAAGGTTTCTAAACTTAGTTACATTGTCTACTCAAAACAAGATAACCTGTGAAGTATGAGACTATACTTTATTGAACCATTACTTGGAGGCTACAGGATGATCCTCCTACCTTGTATCTTGACTATACTGTATAGAACCCTCAACCGTGACTTCAGTTCTACAGGATGATCCTCCTACCTTGTATTTTGACTATACTGTATAGAACCCTGAACTGTGACTTCAGTTCTACAGGATGATCCTCCTACCTTGTATTTTGACTATACTGTATAGAACCCTGAACTGTGACTTCAGTCCTACAGGATGATCCTCCTACCTTGTATTTTGAAGCTGTTGCCATAGCCATAGATTTCTCCTCTTCCATTTGTTTCAGACGCTCTTGGAGATATCTGAAGAAGGTTATAAGGATATGTAAATATGCTGATGAAAACAAAAAGAAACCTTTATCCCATATAAACTGATGTCATCTCAGATGGTGTCCTATTACATTGTAATCATCCAATCAATTACATAAGTATGTAAGATTCTGATGCTCAAACCTGCATCAGGCCCCAGGATCAAGACAGAATTTAGACAAAGTTTAATTTAACATCCATATAGATGTACCGGTAAATATGGTCAATATGAAGTACTTCACCAAACTTATCTCCAACAACATTATCACATCAATGAATTGCTATCACTGTCACCTGTAACACACTGTGAAAAAGAGTTACTAATTCATGCAGAACTGATTTTAGAGAATATTTAGTCATATGGTAAAATGACAAAAATGTCAAAGATATTCTGAAAGCACTAAAATGAACTACATATTCTAAGTTCTATTTTTTCCTTGGACTTTGCCCCAAATTTATATCAAAACATATTTTGCAGCTTACCGATATTATACAATACTGCCTGCAGGTGGGGGCCAACCCTTTCTGGGATGTGACCTGATTATTTCCAGTACAAAGATTTCTAGGCCTTTGTTTTGATATTACTCTACACTAAAAGCAGTTGAATGAAAGATTGTATTTGACTTGAAAGGTTTAACCAGAGGAAATAGTAAGCGGCCCCTACCAAAAATACATAATAAATGGGTAAACACAAAATTAAGTGTCTATGAATTCACCTACCTGTTTTCCATGATGAGTGCATCTAAGTCGACTACACGTTTCTCATCGCCCTTCAGGATGTAATTGAGCTCTGTATTGAGGCGTTCATATTTAGTCTTGTAGACATCTCTCTCAGTGACCAATTCCTCCTTCTCATCTATGACCTGTTGTAAGTCACGTTCTAGCTGGGTATACTGGGGACAAACAATTAAAGCAGCATGTCTATTAAGACTCTGACATGTGTAGCTATCATAGTTGAGTCATACAATAATGTATACCGGGGACAAACAATGAAAGCAGCATGTCTATTAAGACTCTGACATGTGTAGCTATCATAGTTGTGTCATACAATAATGTATACCGGGCACACACAATTAAAGCAGCATGTCTATTAAGACTCTGACATGCGTACCTATTCTAGTTGGGTCATACAATAATGTATACCGGGGACAAACAATGAAAGCAGCATGTCTATTAAGACTCTGACATGTGTAGCTATCATAGTTGTGTCATACAATAATGTATACCGGGCACACACAATTAAAGCAGCATGTCTATTAAGACTCTGACATGCGTTCCTATTATAGATGGGTCATACAATAATGTATTCCGGGGACAAACAATTAAAGCAGCATGTCTATTAAGACTCTGACATGTGTAGCTATCATAGTTGTGTCATACAATAATGTATACCGGGCACACACAATTAAAGCAGCATGTCTATTAAGACTCTGACATGCGTACCTATTATAGTTGGGTCATACAATATTGTATTCCGGGGACAAACAATTAAAGCAGCATGTCTATTAAGACTCTGACATGCGTACCTATTATAGTTGGGTCATACAATATTGTATTCCGGGGACAAACAATTAAAGCAGCATGTCTATTAAGACTCTGACATGCGTTCCTATTATAGATGGGTCATACAATAATGTATTCCGGGGACAAACAATTAAAGCAGCATGTCTATTAAGACTCTGACATGCGTACCTATTATAGTTGGGTCATACAATATTGTATTCCGGGGACAAACAATTAAAGCAGCATGTCTATTAAGACTCTGACATGTGTAGCTATCATAGTTGTGTCATACAATAATGTATACCGGGGACAAACAATTAAAGCAGCATGTCTATTAAGACTCTGACATGTGTACCTATTATAGTTGGGTCATACCATTATGTATACCGGGGACAAACCATTAAAGCAGCATGTCTATTAAGACTCTGAGATGCGTACCTATTATAGTTGGGTCATACAATAATGTATGCCGGGGACAAACCATCAAAGCAGCATGTCTATTAAGCCTCTGACATGTGTACCTATCATAGTTGGGTCATACAATAATGTATACCGGAGACAAACAATTAAAGCAGCTTGTCTATTAAGTCTCTGACATGTGTACCTATTATAGTTGGGTCATACCATTATGTATACCAGGGACATTTTTTGCTGCAGTTTAATTTTCATCTGTTTAGTCCTCTGCATTAAGGGTGAATTTATCATGACAGAGAATATTAGTACACAGTTTACCTTATAGTAATTACTTATTTCACAAGTGAAGGGCGAATATTTGACTGGACGAAAGTGTCCTGGTATACAATACTCTGATAGGTCTACCTGGTGATATATTACAGGTAAATAGTTTGTGTCAACACTACCCACCTCATCCCTGGATGCCTCCAGTTGCTGGACCAGATTCTCCCTCTCATGGGCAGGAAAGTGACGAGTGTTCATCCCCTCATCTGTCGTCCCCACACGTTGACGAGCGATTTGTTCTCGCAGCAGCTAGAACGGTAACACAGAATGTACCACTGATATAGTCCAGTCATGAGAGGTTATGATACACAAATACATTTACAGCAGCTCAAACCAGACACAATTATATATAGGGTAGTACAACAGCACACACAAACATGTACAGTAAATTTGCCTGATAAAAATCCCTTTTGAAAATTATGAAGTGGTCTAAATCACAGGGGCATGGATTGCTTTACTTGTAATATTAAAAAAAAAGGGGTCTCCTATACTAATAAATACAAAAGGATATAACGACAGACTGAAATCTGTTACCCCCTTTTCTCTTTCAGCTCATTTGTCTTCGTTATTCAACCGAGGTATATCCAATATGGACAAAGATTTGTGATTGACACGAGCTGAAAGAGAAAAGGGGGTAACAGATTTCAGTCTGTCGTTATATCCCTTTGTATTTATTAGTATAGGAAAACCCATTTTTTTTAATATTACAAGTAAAGCGATCCATGCCCCTGTGGTCTAAATTTCCTATTTATAGGAATAATACATCGTTTCCAAGTAATACATGAATATACATATATTTAGTATCATTTTAAGAGCTGTTTCTAACATTTCTGAACCCCATTTTTCCTATATTGATGGATTATGCTGCGATTCATTTGCTGTATTTTTGAAAATTTACAGACTATTTAATCACCTAAATCATGTTGAAAAAAAAACTAAGGTAACCTACCTTTATATCTCCTTGTGCATCATGTAGCTTCTGTCGGAGATCCTCCACCTCAAACTGAAGGGACTTGTTTTGTTCCCTGGTCTCCACCAGCACAAACCCAAGGTCCTGAAATAACAAGACAGTCTCTGTACTCCTTCTTACCTAATTAAGACAATCTCAGCAACTGTTCTTACCAGTATAGTAATTTATTTTGAAAACAATGTAAGAGTGGAAATTTCTTTTCAAATATTGCACTTCTTCCTGAAACTTGGTGGCAAAGTGATAGTTGTAATTAGGGAGGTAAGTTATACATGTAGTTACTTTAACATTGCAGTGGAATTGTAAATGAATTGCTACATTTGTTTACTAGGCAGTATGATGATGATATGGAGACTGAGAAAACTGATTGAAAATGGATAAATTATTTTATGGACATATTTCCAGAGAGGTATTTATTTTACTTCTGGTCTGAAATAAGGGAAGGAGTTCTTATAGGAGCACGGGTGCTAATCATGTAAAATATGGTAGATCACTTTTATTTAGGAGTCCAACCTTCCGATATTAGATTATTAAACCAGTGCAAGCTTAACGGACACCGATCCTAGCAAAGTTGGTACATGTACCTGCTGGCACCAAGTGCTAAAATGTTATCCATTATACATTAGTATGAATTGATTGGAAATTAATACCAATAGAAAAAATTAGGAGTTACCTGCTGTTTGACATGGGGGTATCTGTTGTTGTCATTGGGGTCTGATGGAGGCATCTAAAAGGATATCAAAATAAACAATTATTTCCCATGCATTGAATAGTATAATATATATATTCTGAAGACAAACATAAAAGTTATTTTCATTTAACAATAAAAGTGTCAAGCTTGTGACCTACTTTTCCAAGCACCTGTTTCTTGAGGGCTTGGTAGCGCTCCCGGAGCTGCTCTGCCATCAACTTGAACTGATCTCGCTCGCTGACACATTGTGCAAGATCCTTACTGAGGATGAGAAGTGCCTCACACTTACTGTCAAGCTTCCTCTTACATATCTGGTACTGTAACAGAAAATATAGACTCTTATAGTATAGAGCTTGAGATGTTCCTGTTTGCTACAAAAATGTCTATTAAATAATCTGTAAAACAATGAAGGGTACAATTGAATGAAAACACAGGTAAGACCTAAACAATTGTTGTTCTTATAGTTTCATTTTGTTAAAAATTTAATATTCGGCAGGTAGGGAATATCAATATTTCATTACATATTGAGAAATTTGAGTTTAAAAACAGATGACTATGGTGCATTTAATATATGGCAGCTCCATCATGGAATTGAACCTGGTCAGTTTGTGCTTAAAGCTGTCCAGGGTGGTAACTTTCACAGTGGTACTTGGCAGTCTGTTTCACAGTCAAATGGCCTGGTCGGATGGTTGTCATCTCCTCCCTAGACTGTTAAAGTGTTTAGGTGTCTATTTATCTTCATTAGTCAAGAGTTATCTCCCATATTTACAAGCCAAAGCCTCAATGATATATTTTATGATTATTTTTTTCTGCTAAAAGCACTTTCCATTACTGCACAGGTATTATTTATGCATATACCTTTGTTTCCTATTCAGAATATCTAACAGATTATGCATTGCTTATATGCGTAAATTAAATAACAATGTCACAAGATTGCGCACCAGAAAGTCATTTCGCCCCATAGCGGCATAACTGGTAGCGATTCACTGGTAGGCGGTGTTGATTCTGCTACATTTCATAACAGATGTCTAATATATCAAGTCCAGACTTCTCGTCATATCAAATCATTTTCTGACAAAAGTTCATTTATATACCATACACGCTTCTGTAAACAAGTCCGACGGAAATGCAAATACCACTCATCATCATCAACCGAGTCCAACTGCTGGTCTGTCCCTCACGTGCACTGAGTACTGATATTCAGACCAGTAGAGAACTCTTACCTCTGTCTGTAACGTTTCAAATCTTGACTGTCTTCTAGCTATCTCATCGTCGCTAATCCGGCGAGATGTCATGATGTCGACATGGCACAATATTGGTGACCCTCTATACGTATCGTATCGATTTGACAGCTTGCCGCATCGACGGTGTACTAAACAAAGCCAGGTCTACATTACTACCCCGAAGCAAAAGGGGCGATCCAAACGAAACGCTGCTGATTTATATTTCAAGCAGGAATTGCCAAAATTCTATTCATAAAATGCTATTGGGCTTAATAGTGAACGATTACAGTAAAATGTGATCATAAACCGGGGAGTCTAAAACAGACATGTGTGTTTCACGTGCATTTTGGCTCCTTTTAATGAATTATTTTTACCTCTCCAAGGGGAGGCTACTCTAACGAGAATTAAGACTTTCACTTTGTCGATCGACATAGCCACTGAGCTCTCAGTTCCTCAGTTAGCATTCTGATAACAGCATGTGGTGACAGAGGAGCGTGAGGACATCGATATTGTTAACGACAGAGCGCTGGGGCCATGACGGACACACGGAAATATACAGATAAAGACAATCCAAAGGATTTGTTTAAAAGGTTATACACCAAAGCTAATGCTCTTGGGTTGAGTGAAAAAGATTGGATGAAATTGGATGCTCTCAGAGACATCAGAAAAAGTTCTTCACGGAAATCTTCCATTGTGAGAATATTGGAAAAGGTGTGTTTACTCTTGCTGATACTTATTGCTAGTCTACTGTTTATTGTTGTGACTGAATGGCCCGTGAGCAATAACAAACTTCTGTTAATTTGGTTTAAGATTCAAGACCTTGACCCTTTTCATGAGCAATGTTTAGTAGAAATGAGCGAGTCCATCAGTGACTATGTTCGCCCACCAGTGGACTGCAGTTTTTGTGAAGAAGTTACTCAAATTGACAGAGTATCAAATATTACGCGTGAACAGTTTGAAACTACATATGCATATTCTGGGCGGCCAGTGGTTATCGAAGGATCTACAGCCAATTGGACTGCAATGAATGTTTTTTCTTTTAAATTCTTCAAAAAATTGTATAATCAAGATAGTCCAACTTTGGTTAATTCAGACACAAATTGTCAGTTTTTCCCATACTCTACAAGTTTTGACAATCTTGGTGAAGTGTTTAACATGAGCGAGGATCGAGCATTGATGAAAGATGGATATGAACCCTGGTATATTGGATGGTAAGCTTTTAATATCGTCATTTCATTTATAGGATAATGTAGACACTAGTCCTAGTGACATTATATCCTAACAGAAAATGTTGATATCTGTGAATTTATGTATTGTGTAACTCTTAACTGGTGATGAGTATTTAATATATGAGAACAAACTTTTTTTCCATGATGATGGGTATACAGACTTACAGTTTTATTTTACAGTTAGTTTTGTAAAAAAATAAATAGATGCACATTAAATCCATTTGAAAAAAAATTACCCCATTAAAGCATTCCCAGGTAAATAAATGTTGCCTAATAGTGAAATTCAACTATTTCAATATTTTATATTTTAAACTAAAAAGAATGAAATATTTTGAGGTAGAAGGGGAAAAGGGTCTTTCTTAGGAAATGGGACACACAGCTATTACTTTGTTTGGTCATATTGTTAACCAGATGCTTCACACATACAGTCATTTGCATTCACTAGTGTTTTTTGCACCCAAACTTCTTGCACCAGTCTGCTAGATTGTTTACAACCTGACTTAGGAACCATTGACAACCAGACCCAGGCAACATTAACACCTAGACCTACAAATGTAAACATAGTAAACACCCAGACGTAGGGACCGTTCACACCCAGCCCTAACAACTGTAACACCCAGACATAGGGACCGTTCACACCCAGCCCTAACAACTGTAACACCCAGACATAGGGACCGTTCACACCCAGCCCTAACAACTGTAACACCCAGACATAGGGACCGTTCACACCCAGCCCTAACAACTGTAACACCCAGACATAGGGACCGTTCACACCCAGCCCTAACAACTGTAACACCCAGACATAGGGACCGTTCACACCCAGCCCTAACAACTGTAACACCCAGACATAGGGACCGTTCACACCCAGCCCTAACAACTGTAACACCCAGACATAGGGACCGTTCACACCCAGCCCTAACAACTGTAACACCCAGACATAGGGACCGTTCACACCCAGCCCTAACAACTGTAACACCCAGACATAGGGACCGTTCACACCCAGCCCTAACAACTGTAACACCCAGACATAGGGACCGTTCACACCCAGCCCTAACAACTGTAACACCCAGACATAGGGACCGTTCACACCCAGCCCTAACAACTGTAACACCCAGACATAGGGACCGTTCACACCCAGCCCTAACAACTGTAACACCCAGACATAGGGACCGTTCACACCCAGCCCTAACAACTGTAACACCCAGACATAGGGACCATTCACACCCAGCCCTAACAACTGTAACACCCAGACATAGGGACCGTTCACACCCAGCCCTAACAACTAACACCCAGACGTAGGGACCATTTACACCCAGCCCTAACAACTGTAACACCCAGACATAGGGACCGTTCACACCCAGCCCTAACAGCTGTAACACCCAGACATAGGGACCGTTCAAAACCCAGCCCTAGTAACTGTAACACCCAGACGTAGGGACCGTTCACACCCAGCCCTAACAGCTGTAACACCCAGACATAGGGACCGTGCCCACCCAGCCCTAACAACTGTAACACCCAGACATAGGGACCGTTCACACTCAGCCCTAACAACTGTAACACCCAGCCCTAGTAACTGCTCACATTCAGCCCTAACAACTGTAACACCCAGCCCCAGGACCCTTCACACCCAGCCCTAGTAACTGTTCACACCCAGCCCTAACAACTGTAACACCCAGCCCTAGTAGCTGTAACACCCAGACCTAGGACCCTTCACACCCAGCCCTAGTAACTCTTCACACCCAGCCCTAACAACTGTAACACCCAGACGTAGGATCCTTCACACCCAGCCCTATCAACTGTAACACCCAGACTTAGGACCTTCACACCAAGCCCTAACAGCTGTAACACCCAGACTTAGGACCTTCACACCCAGCCCTAACAACTGTAACACCCATCCCTAGTAACCGTCCACACCCAGCCCTATCAACTGTAACACCCAGACATAGGACCTTCACACCAAGCCCTAACAGCTGTAACACCCAGACTTAGGACCTTCACACCCAGCCCTAACAACTGTAACACCCATCCCTAGTAACCGTCCACACCAAGCTCTAACAATTGTAACACCCAGACCTAGTAACTGTAACACCCAGACCTAGGACCCTTCACACCCAGACCTAAAAACTGTTCACACCCAGCCCTAACAACTGTAACACCCAGCCCTAGTAACCGTCCACACCCAGCCCTATCAACTGTAACACCCAGACCTAGGACCCTTCACACTCAAACCTAGTAACTGTTCACACCCAGACCTAAAAACTGTTCACACCCAGCCCTATCAACTGTAACACCCAGACCTAGGACCCTTCACACCCAGACCTAAAAACTGTTCACACCCAGCCCTAACAACTGTAACATTCAGACCTCGGAACCGTTCATACCTGAATCAAAGATTGTTTACACCCAGACCTTGGAACGGTTCACACCCAGCTCTTACAACTGTAACACCCAGACCTAAGTCCTTTCACACTGAAACCTAGTTACGATTCACAGCGAGACCTAGTAACTGTTCTAACCCAGCCCTAACAACTCGTAACCGTCAACACCAACCCTGACATGATATCTTATCATTGGGTTATAGACACTTAATTATATTTTGCTCGTAGCCCACAGGATTAGTTGAATTGATTATTTACTAGTCTGTGGTAATGTTACTAACCCATGACTTCCATGAACTATGTTGTATTTTGTATTTCAGTAGTTTGTGGAGACGTATATTTTTATTTCATAAATTATCATCAGTCAAAAGATATTTTCATTACAGAATTTTTAGTCTACTATCTAATGATAGTGGGTTGTTCAAATTGCCCTACATCTGCAGGGAGACATCATTCCGTCCGTCCTTAAATTCTTGCTAGTGCTATTTTTTTTCGGAAATTCTTGAGGGATCTTTTCTGATTTCTTATGAAGGTTGCCCACAGTCTCTAGTTATGCATATTAAATTTTAGGTTTGATCAGAAAAACCTAGATGACAAACAGGCAGCCATCTTGAATTTTTAGAGTTAAAGTTTGTTAAAACTATTTATCAGAAAGAACTGGAAGGTTCGAATTCTCCATGGTCCTTGGTTACACATTGAATTTTGGGTCAGAATTTTAAGAGTTTAAGTTTGTGAGCGTTTTTCTCAAAAAGTACTGGAAGGACTTATTTTTAAATCTCACATTTAGGATTCCAATGGTCCCCAGTTATTTGTAATTGATAGCCGACAGGCAGCCATCTTGCGTTTTGAGAATTAGAGCTGGTAACTTAGCACTCTTTCTCAGAAATACCGAAGCAATCTTTCTCAAATTTCACATGTAGGTTCCCATTATGCATGTTTCATTTTGAAACTGATTGGTAAAATGAAATGGCCACCAGACAGCCATATTGAATGTTTACTAATCTATTACATGTAATGTTGAACTCAACATATAATATAAGGGACCTGCCATGATAGATGAATATTTTGATCAGCTGGCTACATGGTATATAACTTTACACTGACTTGCATACTAATGCCAACTCTCCCTATTTTGGAGGGAGACTCCCGATTTGGATCCATAAATTTAGCATTTTTTAATCAGTGAATTTGTTTAAACTATTCTTATATTCTAAGATCATATCATTTCATCTGAAAGAACAACTCTAGACATGTTATTTAAAGGGTTATTTTGTCTCTAGTGAGTATATACAGGTACACATATTTTATTTAGGTTTTAATTTTGAGCATGCAGAATCTCCCGGGGCCCCATGGAAATTTCAAAATCTTGGCAAGTATGGACTTGATATGTGTATGACTTTACACTGACTGTTGACATGTTTCACTTTACACTAACTGGTGATTGAGTATGGAATAAATTTGTAATAATAGAAGGAATTACAAGTATTCCATTTCATTTCCTGATTCAGCAGGAAAAAAAGCTGCCCTAGCTTAGAGCTGTCCCCATTAACTAACAGTGGTTTTAGTCTATACCTGTTAACATTCCACTACATTTAATTTCATGACGTTGAATAGATAGTTGTATTATTTATCACTCTGAGAATACTACATCTTAGATACATGTAAAGCATATCTATTAGAATTACATAATACAAATATACTATGGAATAAAAAACTGAACTGCCTCTGCTTCGTGTATTTGTCCTGCGGGCACGGAATTACTTTCTAGAATACTCGTTCAGGTGGTTGACAAATTACTGCCAATCCATCACAAGGTTTACGTAAATAACGATAATCATGTGTTGTTTTTTCTTTATTTTTGTCCATTTTGTTGACACTTGCAGCATGAAGATTGATTTTGTTTGTTATACAGAGTTTAACAGAAGTATCTACACTCGCCCAGCTAGGGCCAGGATTGTAATACAGCTGATTTAATCCGACACAGCCTGTACGGTTGCTTCTCACCTAGCCAACATTTGAAAAATACCCAGTGTCACCTGGCCAACATTTCAATCTTTACAACCTGAGTGAACCTCAGTTATAGTCTGTTTCAGATATACTAATCTCTATTATAATATTTCTATGTATACAGGTACAGGTAGATTTTAGGTAGGTAATACTGCTCACACTATTAAGTCTGTTTATCATGAATTTGAAAATATATCAGTCATTTTACCATGGCCAATGCACAAGTACAGGTTGACTTTTTAGAGAATGGTAGAGGTGGCTATTACCTACTTCATGCTGGCTACAAATTTTCTATACGGACAAGACGGGATAACCGTGTTTATTGGAGATGTGTTTTACGGCAGTGTCCAGCAACATTTATAACCCTGGATAACATCCCAGTTGTATTTGGGCACCAACATCACAACCATCCTCCTGATACTATTTCACTAGCAGCTGACTCATTCATTGTAAATGTCAAAAAGCGTTGTCGAGATGAAGTCAATGCTATCCCGGCAATATTTGAAGAGGAACTTGGCAATCTCCGTGACAGAGACTATGATGATGATGTTGAGGACATGATAAAAAAAATACCAACATTTGAAAGTTGCAAGTCCGCATTATACAGGAGTAGAGCTAAAGTGTTGCCAAAATTGCCACAACGACAGCAAGATATACAGCTGGACGACCTGTGGAAGGAAACGTCAGCTGGGGAGAGATTTTTTATTGTCTGATGACACAAATCAACAAGGCCAGCGAATTATTATATTCGCTACTGATGACAATCTAAGAAAACTTTGTCAGGTAACAATCATGTACAGTGACGGAACATTTTATTCGTGTCCCGGATTGTTCAGCCAGTTATACACACTCCACGGTAGCGTCAGTGGAACTATGTTCCCTCTTGTGTTTGCACTGTTACCAAACAAAGCAGAACATACTTACATCAGGTTTTTCACCCTTTTGAGGGATGCTGTGCTTCAAATGAATTTGATGTTGGTACCAGAAGTAGCCATGTTGGACTTTGAAGTAGCTGCCCGAAACGCGATAAATGCTGTGTTCCCACTTACGACAGTGAAAGCCTGTTTTTTCCATTACACGCAATGCATTTGGAGAAAGACACAGGGATGTGGGTTAGCTGCGCGTTACAAACAGGACGATGAACTGAGAAAGTTGGTAAGTGTAATTATCTAACATTAGTCATAAAAGTTCCACCTTCCCGCTTTTCTCGAAAATTACATCAAATCTAAACAGATCGCAGCCTCTATAATAATTATATAGTTCAAATTCTTCTAATTTCAAAAATGTATTGCATGTATGTTTTCCATTCCGTAAAGGTAAGAAGAGCTGCTGTCCTACCCTTGGTTCCGACCCGACAAGTGGAAGACGTTTGGTTCAATGCTCTTGATGAAAATGAGGACAACAGCCCAGAGGTTACCCGTTTCAAGGACTATGTCACAGAAACGTGGGTGGAAGGACAGCAGCTGGACCTGTGGAACCACTATGACAACACAGGGCCTCGTACAACTAATCATGTAGAAGGATGGCACAGTAAAGTAAACAGGATGTGCAAGCATGCACACCCGAACATTTATGCGATTGTAAAGTTGCTCCAGAAATTACAGGCTGCTGACGAGGTTAGGATGATTCAACTGCCTGCTGGAGGAAAATCACGTCCAAGAAAGAAGAAGTATCGACGTTTGGATGAGCGCCTTACTCAGCTCAAGGACAGGTTCCAGAACGGACATATTAATGTGAACACGTATGCTGATTCAGCATCCCACTTACTCCATTTAGACTGAGATAGTGTATGATATGGTCAACACGTGCATGTTGATTCAGCATCTCAAAAACTGTTTAGCTCAGGTCTTCAAGATTGACCCAAAATTTTAGTGCTTTATATATGTCATATTTATATGTATTAATTGTCTTTTAGAGGTACATGCATTTTTTTAAGCCATAATAGTTCTTGAAATATGTATTTTTTATGTGCAATATGTTTTTGACTTTTTACAGATGTATCTCTCTTTGGATTAATATGCTTTTTATATAAGAATATGTTTTAGTGCCTTTAGTTCTTGAAATATGTATTTTTTTTGTGGGATAGGTTTTTGACTTTTTACAGATGTATATCTCTTTGGATTAATATGCTTTTTATATAAGAATATGTTTTAGTGCCAAATATTGCTTTTAAATACTTGCTGTACTTTAATATCTATATTACCTATACTTGTTATAGGTAATGTATTTCATAGTATTTATGTTTGAATGTTAGGTAAATAAATAAATGATCAGTAACATATTATATAGTCTCAAGTTATCTACTTTTATGAGTTTGACTATAGCGATTACCTGTAATTAAGGCTATTGTTCTGCACTCAACACTAGTCTCACCTGGCCAACATGAAAATCTTACCTGTAGGTAACAAAAATACCAAATGTTGTCTAGGTGAGAAGACACCGCCTGTACACAGGTCGGCTATAACTTCCCTTGTTGTCTACTTTAATGAGAGGACAAATACATCAACGGTGACAAACAAATATAACCAAGGTTTATGTTTTACAGTTATTACAGCACTCCCTCATTAAAACAGAACACAGGACTCGTGTTTAAATATATATATACACATTATATATGTGGTGTATATATATATATAGGTCTCATAAGTAATAACGACAGTATGATCCAATATTGGCACTGGATCCAAACAAACAAATGTTGGTTGGATGCGTATTACTTAAATAGATAGCCAAGAAGTAAGAACGACAAATGAGCCGCCGGCTGGGATTAGGGTCCTTAAGTAGTAAAAAATCAATTTTGTGATTTTTATGATTTCGAAATCTAGAGACATTTCTGATCAAAATGATATAAAAAATATGTCAGTCCGTCAATATTTGATGATTTGACGCCACTTTAAAGATACGTCATACATAGAAGTAGGCTATATGACTTCTGACGTCGCTTACGTCATTATTTCTAACGTTACTTTTAAGATTGATACGGGCGGGTAACATATGCATATCAATTTTAACTGCTTATGTCTGGCTTCACTCCAGAAGTTTAAGCATGATTGTAAAGGGAAATTAAATATGTTATTAAGTCATACAGTTATACTGAAATGTAAAACAAAAAGGGTTCTATATGACCATGGTACAAATAATACTTCTGTACTTTTGAACTTTGTAGACAAACATCTCTACAGTTTTCTTCCGGTTTTGACAAAAATATGTTATAACAACAACTTGAATCAGTTTTCACAAATCTATACCACTTTGTAATGACCATGACATACATGAAATTAATTTGTGGGGTTATTGGAGGAAACTGGGTACCCAGAGAAAACCAACGTGATCGGGCAGGTGACCCCATATCTGTTCACATCCGATTGAGGAATTGAAACCCGGCCGCCTTGGTGAAAGGCAAGTGCGCTATCCACTTCCCCACCCAACCACTCAGTACAGTACATTCTATTTTAGTTGAAAATACTGGTATACTTAGCCTCAGATTTTCCCCATGTAAATATTTAAGGTTGATGAGGTCACTTGTTCCAACAGTACCTTTTTTCATTTGAATGAAAAACTTCAAAATCTTGCTGTTTTAATTTAGAGATTGTTTTTCTCAAATATTTGTTAAACATAATTTACAGAAAACAAAACAGGCATTTTAGTTAAGGCACAGAATATGTTATTCCTATATTCAATACTGGGTTTTTTTGTAGATAATAAACAATAAGTTATGTTTTGTTCATTTTCCCATCATTTTATTGGCCAAGGAAAATTTCAATACTCATATCACATCACTACATTTTGGCCTCACTTCCTACATCAAGTAAACACTTTGACATGATGAAAACCCTAGAAAACTTGTACAGCCACAGAAAGACCGTCCTTAGGCCAGTACAAATGGACTGATTAGTCACTGAAATGCACTATTAGTAGATTTCAAACACAGTATGTCATCATTCCTTTGTGTGGATAGATCACCAATATGAGCTTAATTACATCTAGTGTAGTCAGAGAAGGTCCCTGGCCTTTATCACCACTTTCTAGAAAACCTTCAGGAATGACTTTCCCTCTCATAACTAGTCTCACATCAGTCTCCTCCCCGCCAAGTGCAGATTTCACCTTTAGTTCCCCTAAAATGAACATTTAATATACATATCGACAGAAAGTATATGCATTAAAAACCAATTTATATATACCTGGTACATACAAGGTTTGGTGATCATCTATGCAACACAAAATATAAAAACTTACAGCTATATTGTGAAGTAAAACAGTTTTATAAACAAAATGTTTAGAAATGCATTCTAAACACATTCATTGGACGTGAAAAACGACATTGCACGATCAGGAACGATTGATTTCAGGGGGCTAAATTACCGAGTTATCGTGGGGTATTTAAGTTTTATGAGTACACGTATGAAGCTCTCGGCGTGTCACATATGTCTACATGTACGTGGGACTTTGATGGCCAGCCCGGATCATATTGCTGTATAAACATTGTTTCACTGACATGCTGTGACGGTATAATCAATTACGTTAACAATGAGACGTCTATATTACTTTATATTTAAACCAGATGGTGCCCCTAAGAAGATCAGTTTATGCATAGTCTATGACAAAATAACACAAGAAAAGTTTACTGAATTGATAATTAATATAAAATCAATTACTACTCGTAATTTTACAAAAAAGATTGAAAAACAACAATTGCAAATCAATCAATCACATGATCAAGTTTCAAACTTATGAAGTTCCAGATCGAATTCAGGGTTTATGTACTTTATATCATTCATCAGTCTCATTACTATGGTGTACCACCTAATTAGATTAAGTCTAAGTCCGTGGATGGTGTACGTAGAGAAAACATTGTCTAAAAGGTTAAAAACAACCATTTCGAAATAATGAATCACACTATCAAGCGTCAAACTTCACAAGTTCCCGAGCTGAAGCAGCATCCAACAATCGCAATACTTTTGATGGTCGTTGGCCGCGCACGCGCAAAATTTCAAGCTTGGTTGTCTTGTGGGAATTGTCAACATTTGATAAAGCTCTAAAAGTTAAAAGTTCCCAAAACATGTGTCCTAGAAAACCGACTTTTGTTTTTACTTCTACGAATGACATGTTAACAATACCGCAGGAATCGCTAAAAATAAGAAAATACCGACGGTATTAAGCATTAAGCTTTATTAAAAGTTAATTCTTATCTTATTTTTTTTTAAAAGTCTAAAAATTTAAAAAAAAGGTATTTATATGTTTTCAAACACATTACATAGATATAGTCACACGAACATATATTATGGACAAAGAGTCCGTAGCGGTCTGGTAACTTCTACAAAGAATGGAACTGAAAAAAATCATCCATTCTGACGAGGAAAACAACAAATAATAAAACAAACAAAATGCTATACCAGTGTTTACACAGCAATATAATCTGGGGCGGCCGTGTTCAGCTATGCGAAGTCCTTATATATGTGTGCACACATGTGTGATACGCTGTAAATCTTCATACTTGTACATCGTAAAATTTATCTTACGATTACTCTGTCAATTTTTTCAAATATCGACCTGAAGTTTGGCACATAGTGTTCATAGTCATATGAAAAACATATAGTCTGATGTTGCTTACTTTTTTATATTAATTTTAGAGATATAGTTTGAAGACGCTTCACGATCTGTTGATTTCTTTATACACGTGTGCAACGGCGCCAATCGTAAAAATTCAATTCGTCACTTCTATGTCATTTTTTCAAATATCGACCTGAAGTTTGGCACATAAGTGTATCATAGTTATATGAAAAAAAATATATCTTCTGATGTCGCTTACTTTATAGGTTAATCTTAGAGGTAAAGTCAGAAGAACTTCACGATCTGCGGAGTTCAATTCACACACGCTTGCCACGCCGCCAATCGCAAAAATTAAATTCATCATAACTCGGTCGTTTTTTCATATATCTAGCTAAAATTTGAAATATATATTGATAAAAGTCTTATTAATAATAAATCCTCTGATGTCGCTTCTTTAGTAAGAATGTTTAAAGATATTGTCTAGTGACGCTTTCTTAACTGCACAGGTTGTTACACACACGTGCCACGCCGCAGATCGTAAATTTCATTTCATCATAACTCGGTCAATTTTTCAAATATCAAACTGAAATTTGGTATAAAAGTGTGTTATAGTCATATGAAAAACATATCGTCTGATGTTGCTTACTTTATTTGGTATTTTTAAAGATTATGTCTGACGACGCTTGTTGTCACTTGAAGACGCTTGTTGTCGGTTGAAGACGTTTTTAAGGAGGACCCGTTTTGCCCATTACACAATTTCTATTCATGATGTGATTTTTAAAGCAATTGGTCATTAATCTCATGATACAATAAAAAAAAACACATATTTTTCTTTATGTTTACATACCTTGAAATCTTTGCTGTACATGCTCATATTTTACAGCATGTTTTTCTTTCTTCTGAGTGTTTCCTAGCTGCGATAACGTAGCTTTCTGACGACGAGATATTTTTTAATCGGGGCAGAGGAGGCCGTGTATTAATATTAGTGCTAAGTGTTCCTATGCATCCGGGAAACGGGAAATAAGTGACTGAACTGATTGTCTAGCTCTGCAGCTATCACACTATCACATCACATCCTATACTTTAAATTGGGTGGAAGATAGGCTGCTACATGTCACAAGTTTTCCGTAGCGAAATGTAAACAATCTACCGAAAGTGTGCGCACCAGAAAACGGGAAATCCCTGTCGCTTCGATATTTAAGTCGATTTAATTAATTATTGATATCTAAAGTGTATAATATTGTTGGAATAATTAAGAGATAGCCTTCTAGTTTCAGATGGTACATAATATGTATATGTTTTGGGAATAATAGAAGTTATATTGTACATTCTTGTAAAGCAAGTGAGATTTCCGTTTTCGCGCGAAACAGAAATAG